AAACGAGACAAATCTGCTTTTTGGTGAAAAAGACCAGACTTGTAGAAATGTGGGTGGTAAATTTAAGTGGGTCATCAAATGCTAGTCTCTGTAATGAAGGTAAATGATGATGTGGTCGACTGTAGATTTGGCAGGAGTCTCTGTCCGCTCACTTGGAGATGATGCCTACATTCAAAACGAGAACATTGAAATGCTGGGGCAATGGTCACCAACCTTTTTTAGTCAGATATCCCTAACTCCAACATTGCTAAAAGGCAAGATCTATTATCAAAAAACTGACAAAAAATTAAGCTACACAATACATTGTTTTATCTAAGAGAGAAAAAAACGCTTGTTTAACTTACTTAGAAAATCTGTGACAATGCACTTGGATGACATTTTGAGGGGTGAACATTTGGGTGCCCATGCACTGTGGAATTAGCAGATCATTTGAAAATGCCTGTGAGCTAGGCATGGGATGATAACCGGTTTTAAAGGGCACCTAGTTTACCCCTTTTTTAAGATTTAATATTAATATTATGACTCTTCTGAGTGTGCCAGTTTAGGTTCAGTTCTAATCACAACTCAGATTTTTTATTATAATGTGTTAAAAAGTGTCATGTTGGAGGCATGTACATAGGTCGCTGTTTAAGGGGCGTGTTGCTTCACGTGAAAATCAGTTTCGACTTCCCGCCCAACTGAATAAGTGGGCGGAGCCAAGAGCTTTCCCGCTTTGTGTTTGGCAACAGACAGGCAGACAGAGAGAAGCAACATAAGTGAGAGGACCAGCATTCAGCCGTACATGTACGACTCGGACACAGACCATAGCAGAGAGTACAAAATCATTTGCGTCTTTGTATAGTTTTACAGCCAACTGTGTGCTAGTTTAAAGTTCCGAGCTTGTACACCGAGACTAATAACCACGCACTTTGAATTAACTTTAACTGAGGCACTGTATGCGCTGCTATGAAAAGTACACATGTTTGCAAACCCACCTAATGTTACAAACAATGGCATTCTTAAGAGCGATCATGCAGAGAATGTTGATCTTGTGTTGAGCCCAATGAGCTTTACATGTAAAAATAGACACGGGCCCGTCTTGGGCACCTCTCGGGAGCGCGCATCGTTCGCACCCGCGCCGTTCTCGCGCAAAAAGCCGCCGGATCGGCCGACTCGGCCGACTCGGCCGCCCTCCTCTTCCTCCTCCTCCTCCTCCTTCCCTAAACCCGAGCGACGGTTCGCAAAAGCCGTCCAGAAAAAAAAAAAAGCAAAAGCCCTCGTCTTTGATTTCGACCGCGTTTTCGGATCCCGCCGCGTTCTCGCCCTTATTTTTCGGATTCCGTTTTTCGTCTTACCTGATTTCCAGAACCGCTGTTCCCCAAACTCGATCCCGGTCGTCATCCCCGCGGCCGGCTCCTCCTCCAGGGCCTCCGCTCCGCCGACGCAACGCTGTGAGCTAAGCGGACAAACTGGTTGCATCGGGAAAGCCCTCCACTCGGAGGCGAGCCGTCGGCCGGCGAGCGCGAAGAGGAGGGGTGGAGCGGCGCCACACCGCCCCGCAGCGTTCACTAAACGCGGCCTTACGTACCTCCGGCCAGATAAATGGCGGTCTCCAGAAACGTCCGCGGGGCTACGTTTCCAGAATGAGCTTGAGTTGTGAATTTCACATTGATTTGGATGTACAAAGAGAATATGCTTGGGATTCCAAGTACGTAGTGTTTCATACATCTGATGTTTTTTTACTGTGTACGCAAATTTACAGCTTTGTCCGTACGCAATGTTTTAGTATCAATTCAATGCAAGTCATTGTACATGAGGCCCATGAACAGTGCAGTGGTTTAATTTATATCCAAAGAAAAATATCGAAATAAGGGCTTTTCATGTTGTAAAGAAATCAGTGTTTTTGGAGAGAATGAAGATTAAGTCAGGGGTGCTTAACCCTGTTCCTGGAGATCTACCTTACTGCAGATTTCAGTTGCAACCCTTATCAAACACACCTGCCTGTAATTATCAAGTGCTGTTCAGGTCCTAATTAATTGGTTCAGGTGCGTTTGCTCAGGGTTGGAGCTGAACTTTGTAGGAAGGTAGATCTCCAGGAACAGGGTTGAGCACCCCTGCCTTAAGTATATACATACAATAACAAGTAAACTAAAACATTGTAATATAGTTCAGCAATGGTAACTTTTTACCATAGTTTGCAGCATCAATTCACAATGTTAGAGCCGATCACAGCAAACGCATTGTTTGAGATTAGAGGCTCTTTTTAATGTTGTTTTCTATTGGCCGGTAGAGTTTTGTGCACTGCTTTTTTGCCTTATGTGCCTCACGTTTTCGCAGTTTAATAAAAAAAAGCTGCATGCATGCCTGAAAAACACATCCTATTTATGCAATCAGGCCATTTGTAATATCAAACTTGAGCACGCAATAGACGCATATGTGAACGACCCCTTATTACGTTGAGGCTCGCACCTCACGGGGTGCAGGATGTCATATAGACCTATAGCGACATTTGCAGCATATTGTAAATAGAAAGAGCAGTTCAATCAAGATAAATAAAGAGAGATTCGCATTTCTTGTATTTATACTTCTGTCATTTTCAGGATCTAACAGGAGAGTGATAAAGATTTACCAGTCTATTGTGATTGATGGGTTGGTGACCACTGGGCTAGACGAATACAAGCGGAGATAGACAAACTGGAAAGGCTGCAGATATAGGGGCACATGTCTAGACCCCTTATTATATGGTCCTTCCAAAACCCAACCACCCTGTACTGGATAGATCAGAAACAACAGGGTCGTAGAAATGTGGCGGGTCTTAAAACACAGTCCAACAAATGCATTTCAGCCTCTCCGGTTGTGCAGTAACACACTATTGGAAAAAGCTGCTTATTGTTTGTATAACAATGGTGGGAGAATTTCATTCATTCATTCATTTTCTTGTTGGCTTAGTCCCTTTATTAATCTGGGGTCGCTACAGCGGAACGAACCGCCAACTTATCCAGCACATATTTACGCAGCGGATGCCCTTCAAGCCGCAACCCATCTCTGGGAAACATCCACACACACTCATTCACACTCATACACTACGGACAATTTAGCTTACCCAATTCTCCTGTACCGCATGTCTTTGGACTGTGGGAGAAACCGGAGCACCCGGAGAAAACCAACGCGAACGCAGGGAGAACATGCAAACTCCACACAGAAACACCAACTGACCCAGCCGAGGCTCGAACCAGCGACCTTCTTGCTGTGAGGCTGCGTTGTTATGTGCACTGCGTTGCCTGGTGGGAGAATTAATGAATTAATACAATAATGATCATGCCTAAAAAGTAAATAAAGTTTAGCCGGTCCAAATAGTTCCAAAATATATTCTTTTCATTAGGGCAGCACAATATATCAGAAATATTAAAACATTGTATTGCAATAATAATTGATTTTAGACAAAGGTATATTAGCACACCCTCTGAAAGACTTCGACACATCAGGAAATGCAGTCGTATGTCAACTTGCATCTCTAAAACTAAGCAGATTGGCCATGCTGTTTTTTCATGTCCAAAATCTGTAACCTTTTTTCTAAGAATGCTGAAATGTGGCCAACAATCAAGTGTGTATGCGTGCTTTCTTCTTCTTGAAATAATATGAAACGTGTTGGTTATTATTTTTTCCAAATATCGTATTGTATCACATAACACATTTTTCTAAAATATCACTTAGCCCTACGTTTAATGCAGTGAAATCTACTGCTTTTTCAGATCAGCCTTGATTTAAATAATGTTTGAAGAGGTATCGTTCCACAGAGTGTATATTGTTCCATAATTATTGATTAACAGTTTATATTGTTATTATTGAATTAATTATCTTATTAACAAACAAAAAACCTTGCTTAGTAGCTATGTTTACTTCCAAAGATGCGGATTAAATCTCAAAGGTGCGCAAAACTGTTATATTGCATAAAAGATTTGCAAATAGTGCTATGTTTTCATCCAACCACTCAAAGAGAACAAAATCGTCGCTTCCTGATAAACTGGCACCAAATATTAAAAAAGAATAACTGAATTTGCAGTGGTAGGAGCTGCTGAGTGAGTTTTTTTATTGTATAATAAATTATTTGCGCTAGTGTTGGCTTTTGGGGAGCGCAGATGCTCAAGACTGTTTTGGAGGTAATAATAATAATATAATAATAAAAATAATAATACTGACCCACTGTGATGACAGTTTGTCCATTAAAGCTGTACATTTCACACATTTTTTATTATCACATGATCTATTATATCAAAACGACATGACTTTTTTAAGGCGGATACTGGAGTTTATTCAATAAAAGTGTTTTCATCATAGTTTATGCGCATTTTTTCTTATGGAACTAACAACTTTATTACTTAATTACTAATTTTACTTTTACGTTACTGTTTCTACATTTATCTTGACATCTTGATGTTTCCATCAAGCATTTTTATGCGATAATCCAAAATTGCCATAAAAATAGGTGGATAGAGACATACTGTAGCTTGTGTTCAATACATGTGATTATGTTGATAAAGAAGATGGAATGTATTTTATTTCTTGTTGTATTTTCAATCAAATAACTCAAATCATTGAAATGTTGTTTAGCATGCGACTCCAGAATTATCTTGTAATGTTTAACATGTATATATTTGTAAGGTATGGATTCATGATCTTGTAAAACTCTTGTGTGTTTTGAGCAGTGAGAGAATTATGATTAACATTGCAAGAATCAACAGCTACTGTAGGTCTGATACATATTCAATGCTGCAAAAACAAGTTGCAAGTACAAACCACTGACACCACTGAGTGCAATAGGTGCTCCGAAATATTATTTTCATGAGCACATCCTGTAGAGCCATGATAAGAAAAATGCTAATAAATACATTTTATAGACTTTCTGCCTCTGGGATTCTGTCTCTTTCTGCTGTAGTAAATGGAAACCAAGAGATATTTTCCAAAACAAGACAAAGCAAGACATTTTCCAAATATCTGTGCTGTGTGTTTTCTCTGTGCAGGTGTTTTCTGAAGCTGGGGGAGTGGCAGCTCAGCCTTCAGGGCATCAATGAGAGCACCATCCCTAAAGTCTTGCAGTATTACAGTCACTCAACGGAGCATGATCGCAACTGGTACAAGGTACAAAACCCTCACAAACTTTAAAGAAGTGTGGATGAATATTTGTGTTGCTGCAAATGAATAGAATTAGTAAGGTCATCAATGGGCTATCGACTTTTAATTTTCAGTCAGGCCGCCCAAAAGCTTTAGGTGAGCTGTCTTTCGATTACAAAATTGTCAGGTTTAAGATTTCTTCAAAAATCAGCGATCTTCAGTGCCTGTTAAATATACAATATGAAGTGGGTCTGGGATTGGACAAGAAGCACTGCATTAAATTCCATTTCCTCCCGCCATGTCTTTATAATATGTCAGTTTATTTTACCCTAGTATTTTCAATGGAATTTCTGCGCTAGCCGAACAATGGTTACAATGGTCTTTTATCTCGTTTCACTCTTGAAAAACTAAATGAATACTTAAGTCTCTTTAACTGAATGTATTGTAATTACATTACAATACAAATGCTGTAAAACAACCTTGTGAAATTGAAAATAGTAAGAGTAGTTTTTCATAAAAGGCAAATATGGTGAAAAATCTACTTTTCAAGCTATTTGGACAGACATATGTGTATATATAGTGTACAGACCGTCATATTGGGGTGATATAAACACACCCAATCCTTTTTTTCAATTTAACAACATAAAAATGGTGGACCAATTGGAGCGGTTTTCAGACTGACCACAACTTTACGTAGGAGTGCGGTCCCCCCGCCCACCGAATTGATTGACAGCTTCGTGCATTAACATGTTCCGGTAGTCACGTGTATATGTCAACAAGACCAGACATACGCAAAGCAACCGGGAATAAAAGGTCTGTTCTGTTCGCTAGGATCAGCAATCATCATCAAATGTGATTAAGAGTAAGTTTCACATGTTTAAAGTGTTTTAAAACAGTGCACGTGTGTAATTACAGCGATTTACTTCAGCTTTACTTCATCAGCACAGCCGCGTGTCAGAACAATTATAAAAGAAGACGCTTTGTGTGTGTGTGTCAGCTGCGGTGTGCGTGTGTTTCTCTCTGTGTGTGTGTGTGTGCGCGCGTGAACTTTGTAACGATATTGTGTGTGACTCATCAATGCAACTTCTCAATACTGATTAGTAAAGATTAGTTCTTACTGTAGTATTTCTCACAAACGCTACGTGAGACTAGGGTTGTAACAATATACCGGTATGACGGTCTACCACGATTTGAATGTGCACGATTATCATACCATGAACAATTGCATATCAACGGTTTTAACCGCTGATCCGATTCATACAATTCAAAGATTGGCATAAAGAAGAGAATCTCAGCTTTCCAGTGCTGTATCACATAACATTCGCGGCTCCGGAGGCTCCGGAATCAGTGCGGTTACGTCATCAAAATTTGACAACGCTGATTTGACAAAGAAACGCTCGTCACTGTGTCTCCGGACAAGCCAGACACGATACATTGATGCATTGTCCCTCCTCCATGCCCAGATTGGTTCAAACTCGCTATATCACAACCAATAAGCATGGGTTTCTCTTTTGTTTGTGGACCAAAAACGAGCTTTTTGAACAACACAGAATGAGAGATAGGCATACATTTATGCGCGGCTAAATAAAACGCAAAAAAAAAGTTTTGCATGAAATAATTCTCATACTAAGTACTTTTGCATGCACAGCAGCACAGAAACATGACAAAACAGTGACACAGCAAAGACGAACTGCTGCTCTTGCTGTTTTCAAAAGACGCAAATGAAGGTGCAGCTGTTTGTCTGCATTGCAGACAACCATATCCAAATCCATATCCACAGACAACCATATCCATGCTGGCACATAAAACCTAAGGATGTTCCATATTGAATCTAGTTTCGTTATGTAACTATTTATAGTATAGTAAATATTTATATCTATTTTTTTACTGAGGATTTGCACCATGTTTATTTGGACTTTATTTGGACTTTGACACATTATTCATTATTTTCTTATTTTTTTATTTGTTCATTGTAAGTGGTGTTGTTTATAGTAACTGAAAATATATTATTTGGAAAAAGTAAAATTTGCTTCACTGTTCTATTATTTTGTAACATTTGTAACATACCGTATACCGCGAAACCGTCAAACCGTGGTATTGTTTTAGACGATTATCATACCGTAAAAAATTCATACCGTTACAACCCTACGTGAGACCTTCTTCCTTTAAGTCTGTTTGTTGTCTGAAGCAGCTGAGGTAGGAGATTAAAGCACGCGGGAAGGCACGTAGACACAGTAGGTGGGAAAGACTCGTCTTAAAGGCGCAGTACGACAAAACCACCCTCTGCTGGAAATCAGTATAAAACAGCATCTTGTAAAAGGTTTAATGAAAAATCTGATGGGTGTTTTGAGCTGAAACTTTATATACACGCTCTAGAGACGCAAAAGACTTATATTAAATCTGAAAAAAGGGGTAACCTAGGTGCCCTTTAATGTTTGCCATGTCTCACCAAAGGACACGAAAATGTAAAAAAAAAAAAAAAAAAAAGATCCAATTCAAAAGTGAAAAAAAAACTGTAATGTTGTTTATTTAACATTTTGTGTTTTCATGTGTTTCTTCAAAAATAGTGTTTACAAAAAAAAACATCCCATGTCAATTTTATCAAACCAAAATCTCATTCGTATTGATCTTTATTTGACGTTTATGATGTCATGACATAGAAATTCTTGAAAACACTACAGTTTAAGATGTTAAAATACAGATTTTGGAAAAAAAAAATTTGTAAGTAAGATTAAAAACAACAAGATAACGGATTGTGTCTTTGCAGGCCTGGCATGCTTGGGCAGTAATGAACTTTGAGGCCGTGCTTCACTACAAGCATCAGAACCAGGGCCGCGATGAGAAGAAGAAACTGCGACACGCAAGCGGCGCCAGCGCCAACAGCGAAGCCAGTAACAGCGACAGCGAAGCCGACAGCACCGAGCACAGTCCCGTACCCTCACCCGGACAGAAGAAAGTCAACGAAGTGAGAAACAAACCAAAGCCAGACACCAACAACAACGTGTTTTTAGAAGCTCGTGTTGAAAACATTCACAAAACATTCATGTTTCCAGACGACTTGTAAACAGGTTTCCTAAAACAAGTAAACGAGCTTCAAAATTGATCAACAATAAGACAGAGTTGGCATCTTTCATCTTACAATTTGTTTATCGTCCCATATGAGCAAGTCCACAGAACATTGCTGTTAATGGTTTAAAACCACCGAAATTACAATGGTGTTTATCAACTGACATTTAAGTGAATAAAGAGCAAACACGTTCACGTTCTCTCTCAAGGTCTTGATAACAAACAAAGCATAGCACATGCATGCAAAGTGGGTGCTAAGTTCCTGCTAAATTTTTTAATGTTGTTGACAGTGCTTTATAGGATCGTTTAAGGTGGAATTCATTGTTTTTCTTTGTTGCAGGATTTGTCCAAGACTCTCCTTCTTTACACAGTGCCTGCAGTGCAGGGGTTTTTCAGATCCATCTCACTCTCACGTGGAAATAACTTACAGGACACACTGAGGTAAAAGAGCACTAAGCAGTCTGGGAAACATTTTCAAGTTCAATACCAGTTTATTCTACTCGGTTTTAGTATGTACAGTTGAAGTCAGAATTATAAGCCCCTCTGAATTATTAGCCCCCTTGTTTTTTTTTTTTTTTTCCCAATTTCTGTTTAACGGAGACAAGATTTTGTTAACACATTTCTAAACATAATAGTTTTAATAACTCATCTCTAATAACTAATTTATTTTATCTTTGCCATGATGACAGTAAATAATATTTGACTAGATATTTTTCAAGACACTTCTTTACAGCTTAAAGTGACATTTAAAGGCTTAACTAGGTTAATTAGGTAAGACTTAACTAGGCAGGTTAGGGTAATTAGGAAAGTTATAGTATAATGATATATTATCATATATAGGCTAATAATTTTGACTTTAAAATGGTGTTTAAAAAATTAAGAACTGCTTTTGTTTTTAACTAATAATTTTTAAAAATGTAACTCAAATATTATTTTATTTTTAAAATGAATGCGTTACTTTACTCTTTATTATTACATAACTTGTGTTATTTATAATGTGTTACCCTCAACACTGTATTTTCGTTTGGATGCACTTGATTTAAACCACTCTAAAAGACAGAGCTGTTATAAAAAGAAAATGCTATTGGCTGTTTTTTATAAAGGGGAGGAGCTACTATACTGTATGTCAGTTACTATACAGCGTTTCAGTTAAGATTACGTTACATTTTTAATTATAAAATGCCGTTTAAAAACACCTTTAAGCACCTTTAAATAATATAAATATGTAACAATTGTGATCTATATACTGATTCTAATTTGAAGGAATTTAAAGGGATAGTTTACCCAAGAAATGTGTTCTAATGTGGTTTAAACTATTATGATTTTTGTTTCTTCTTTGTAACACAATGTTGGGAAAAAAGCAGCCATTGACATCCATAGTAGAAACAAAAATACTATAGAAGACTATAGAAGTGGTGGGTTTTTTTCCAACATTCTTTAGTGTATCTTTCTTGGTGTTCAACAGAAGAAAGAAAAACAGTGAAGGATGAGTAAATGATGACAATTGTCATTTTTGGTTGAACTACCCCTTTTAAAATCCTATCTATGAAAGTAGATTTTTCAGATATTCGATCAAATGTTGTGTTTTTGAGCTTGATATTCAAATAAATTGAGTGGGAAGACTTGACATTATAAAAAATTAAATATTTTTGTTGAAGTCAGAATTATTAGCCCCCCCCCCCCCCCCCCCCCCCCCCCCAAATTATTAGCCCCCCTGTTTTATTTCTGTTTAACAGACAGCAGATTTTTTCAACAGATTTCTAATCATAATAGTTTTAATAACTTATTTCTAATTACTGCTTTATTTTATATTTGCCATGATGATATAACATTTTACTGTATATTTTTCAAAACACTTCTATACAGCTTAAAGTGACATTTAAAGGCTTAACTAGGTTAATTGGGTTAACTAGTCAGGATATGGTAATTAGGCAAGTTATTGTAAAACAATGGTTTGTTCTGTAGAGTATCGAAAAAAAATTTACCTTAAGGGGGCTAATAATTTTGACCTTAAAATGGTGTTTAAAAAAATTAAAAACTGCTTTTATTCTAGCCCAAATAAAGCAAATAAGACTTTCTCCAGAGGAAAAAATATTATCAGACATACTGTGAAAATTTCCTTGCTCTGTTAAACATCATTTGGAAAATATTTAAAAAAGACAAAAAATTCAAAGGGGGGCTAATAATTCTGACTTCAACTGTATATATTTTTAAATATATTTAAATTTTATATATAGTTATCTATTTTTTTCTAATATCGTATAATTTAATTAGTTTGTATAGAAATAAATTGTGTATACTTTGGTGAATATTTGGTGAAGTATCATAAACATTCATCCACATTTATGCAGGTGACGGATATTTAAGACTTGAATGTGTTTATAAAGACATATGTAGCAAATTAATCATTGTTGTGTAGCAAAGGTTGGATGCCACATTCCAAGGAAACTTACAATTCTTAACTTAATCATTAAAAGGGACTGAAAGGGTAGTTTGCATCTTGGAGCTCATCGTGGCTTCTCTAAATGTTGGATGAAGCATGTGCACAAGGATGGTTGTGACACGTGAGTGTGAACAGTTGTCGTAACAGTGTCAGGTCACATATTGCACAGATTACCTTGTGTCTTCGGATTTATAAATATCTCACTTGTTCTGCTTTCCCTTTGACTCGTCCGCTGTAGAAAGACAACATCTTGTCTTATGAAGACTTTTCGGTAATGTATTTTCGTGTGGAAGGGCAAGACAGTAACTTCTTCACTTCAGCAAGATGTCACTCACTATAGAGTATACATCAATAGCAAATGACCAATTACCAACAAATACAATCATGTCATGTCCAGCATTTATGTTCTTCTTATTCCAAAATGCCATATCAATCAGATGTCATTACACACTACCTGACAAAATGTCGCCTATCCAAGTTTTTGAAAAAACAAATAATAACTTCTAATTCATCATTTGGTATCAGAAGTGGCTTATATGAAAGGCAAAGGCCTCTAGATTACGCTTATTTTACTAAAATACAATATGATCATGACTTGATTTTTAACGATTTAATTAGGATAGTAAAGTCTAACTTTGCTTAGACAAAAGTCTTGTTACTTAACAGAAATAATGTACAGTATAGAATATATAGAAGTATAGACCTTTTTCTTGGAACGCAAAATTACCCATGATGCTTTGCGTGTATACGCAAGGAGAATGCTAAGAACTTCCGGTCAGCAGCTGATGCGTGTAAACAGTCACATTTGGACAGCTTTGAAACGATAGTTTTAATTTATTTTCCAGCTTTTATCCTCTTTGAACTAATACTGTTGTCCATCAGCACCATCTCCTCGACTGATCATTTAAAGAAATGCGATCTAATAGGATGGAAAACCGCTGCTGTGAGGCGTTTTTCCCTTGTTGTCAGACGGCATCTTCTGCCGTTTAAATGAAGCCTCGTCATCACTAAAGTCAACAGTTTCTCTTTCTTTCAAATATATAACCAGCCCAAACAAATGTAGTTCACCAAAATGTTTGACACACACACGTAGCCTGTACTGTCCCACTGAGCCACTGATTTAATAACTGTTTCAAGGTGAAAATATAGGCGTGTCATTTCGAAATGACAGAAAAACACAAACCGTGGTTAAAACAACACATGAAATGAAACATAAACTGCTCGCGATTAGAATGAACAGCAAACCAGCCAGCAGAGGATCATTAACAGACTTTTATTGGTCATTTTTGTAAATTGCATGACTTACATAAGTTTCATGCTAATAATACAGTTTGCTCTGTAATGCAGCTAAGTATTGCGTGCGTGTGTGTGTGTGTGTGTGTGTGTGTGTGTGTGTGTGTGTGTGTGTGTGTGTGTGTGTGTGTGTGTGTATTGAAGAGCCGCTGAGCTTACAGCTGACAGGCTGGGAACGCACACACACACACACTGTATTTCTGACGGCAGACACGTGAACTAGGAGAAAGTTTTTCTCGTATTACTGACGGGCTTGAACCACATCTGACAGATTAAAACGGCTTTAACAGACACATTTCTAAGTTGTGTGTCAAAAAAACACTCTGTAATATATTAAAAACGTTATTGAAACCCATTTTCGGAGCGCAAATTACTGTAAACGGAAGTTTTGTAGCATTCTACCGGAAGACGCTGGTTGCTATGGCGCCCTCCATGCAGCAGCCATGAAAAAGGTCTATAGAAAGTATAGAATATAAACAGTATAGAAGTCATGGTGCAGTGGAAAAGTGATTACAGTTTTCTCAGTTGTTTACACACATTTTCTGAAAGCATGTCTCATATTGTCAGAACTCTACACACATCAGATGAATTCTTTGAATTCATATTCATTGCCTCCTACTTCATCTTACCCCAGACATGCTCAATTATGTTCATGTCTGGTGAATGGGCCGCCCAATCCTGGAGCACCTTAACCTTCTTTGCTTTCAGGGACTTGGATGTGGAGGCTGAAGTATGAGGAGCGCTATCCTCCTGAAGAGTTTGTCCTCTCCTGTGGTTTGTAATGTAATGGGCAGCACAAATTTCTTGATACCTCAGGCTGTTGATGCACACCCCCATACTGAATGTAACCCCAAACCATGCTTTTTCCTTCACCAAACTTTACTGATTTCTGTGAGAATCTTGGGTCCATGTGGGTTCCAGTAAGTCTTTTGCAGTATTTGTGATGATTGGGATGCAGTTCAACAGATGATTCATCAGAAAAATCAACCTTCTGCCACTTTTCCGAATAAATAACTAGAAGTCAAGTTATTATCTGTTGCTCTTACAACTGGGATCGACGACAAGACTTTTGTCAGGTAGTGTAGTAAAATACAAATACAAAAAGTTCAATGTCAACTTTGCCAGAGTAGTTTTTGATTATTTTTGAGAAAAGGGTTCTAAATCTACACGTAGTATTTATTTTTGTACTTTGTGGTTTAGTTTAGTACAATTCTTCTAATCTTACCTCTAAACAAAAAAATAAACATGTAAAGGATCGATTGCTTGTTGAAAGAAAATTTCAAAACAAAGTACTGGCTAAAAATGGAAAAGTAAGTAAAAATACAATTTTTTTAAACATAATACTTAGTACCAAATAAATCTAATAATTACAAATACTCAAACTAGTGTAATTTACTGTAATTGTAATTTGAATTGTAGTTTTTGTCTGGATTTTTTCTTGTCTACATTGATTGGTTGAGTAGAATAATCAGTTCCGTTATTTGTATCCAATCAAATTGTTACAAGAAATGACTGAGAGAGTGTTTAGACGGCATGTCACTGTTGAGAAGATGAAGGATTTCTACTGTATGAAAGACCGAAATCGACAAATGGCCTTAAAAAAAATCACTAAATCCACTACAGAACGTTACGTTTTCAAACACCTTTTAAATATAGTTACATTTAAATACATGCACAGTGAATTCTATCAGTTCGTCAATGGTAAATAATTGAACTTATGCAAAAATGAAACATCCATTAAAGAAAATGGCTGTGATATAAGCTACATTTTTTAATTTGCAGAAAAGGCTACTTTATACTCCTACTTTGAGTAATATTTTACAACAGATACTTTTACACTGCTTGCATTTTTTGTTCCAAGTATGGTACTTTTACTTGAGTGTGGTTTTTCAGTACTCTTTCCACCACTGATGGTATATGTGTGAAAGACTATAATCAGTGAATGATATGGTCTTTATGGAGAAAAAACACACTATGTATGACCATCTGTTTGTTCCTTTACATTTAGAGTCCTGACCCTATGGTTTGATTATGGTCACTGGCCTGAAGTGAATGAAGCTCTAGTCGAAGGTATCAAGACCATTCAGATAGACACTTGGTTACAGGTAAGATCATTTCCTCCTTAAAGCCTAATTACAACTGAAACTTTCACAAGTTAAATAGTCCTTAACTCTTGTGTATTAATATTTAATTGTTAAATGGGACATGGTGCTCACAATTAAAAAACAGCTCATAATTACAACTGTAAATAAATATTTTTTTACCCTATCCAACTAACTACCCCGACCTCAAAACTTTTTAAATTTTAACCACCTCAATAGCAACATATGTTTAACAATATTTGTACTTCATTGCTAAACTTTGTACATTATATATTTGAGCAATATCAGACGAGTAGCAGTGTGATATGGCTGTATATGGTCCACCTTAAAAACCGTGACGCTTCCGTTTTTCAGCTTCTTATTCGCTTAAGAAAACACACTGAGCAAGGGCTTATTATGCGGTCCTAGCTCTATCTTGTGGATAAACAACATGAACTGTTTTTGGCCGCCAACGAGCTCTCTCAGAAATTGTAAATATTTTAAAATAGGCACTATTCTTACAAATAAACTGCATAGTTGCAATCTAAACAACTACATTCTCGACTAAAAAAAGCCTCTAAAGTACATTTTGTTGTCTAACAACAGTAATATTTGTCAAATTGTAGCGTCTCTGCTTGTTGCTGGCTGTACTGAAGGGTGATGAGGCCTTTGTGTGATGCTACTGGCAAAATATCGCGCGGCTATCAGCCAATCAGATTGAAGAACCAGACAGAACTCTTGTATAATATAATATAATATATATATATATATATATATATATATATATATATATATATTGACACCTGCTATCAACTGGGCCTCATGAAGTCTTGTTATTTTACAGTTTCCCTTTCTAAATGTATGTTAGTTTAAAGGGGGTAGATATATTTGGTTACACTTTGCTTTATGGTGTGTTACGAACCCCAATTTTTTTAAGGCTTGTCTAGGAAGGGCTTAACAACATGAAAGGGACACGCAACTCAAAAAAGTACAATTCTCTATTTATTTAGAGACCAAAAAAAGTGTCTATCAAATAAAGTGGCAACAAAAATACAGATAATTAATTTAACAATATTAACTTAGGCAAAATAATTAATTAAACAAACAAACATACAAAAAAAAAACACATAGATCAACAAAGAATTTAATAAACTTTTTATCAGCGGCTAAACAAAACGCACACAGAATTCTAAGCCCTTCATCAGGACAACAAGATACATAGAGATTCTCAGCAAGTGCGGGTCATGCTTTCAACAGAGCAAAGATTGGGAGGATCAGTCAGACACACGCTGGAAAACAAAAGCCACCTAAACACACACTCAACAACAATAATAATAATAATAATAATAATAATAATAATAATAATAATGATAATAATAAATAAATACTAAACCGTGACAGGTGTTACTGTTATATACAATGTAACTATATATTTAACTACTGAGTAATATTGAATATTTACATATGCTTACTATATGATTAGGGTTAGAATGTGGGTTAGATGTATGTAATTATGTATAAGTACATGGCATGTGTAACAAAGCCACCTAAAACAAAGTGTTATCACATATTTAACTTAAAAGCAAGACAAAAAAGTCACTACTGAAATAAAACCTGTACAGTATTGCTTTAAGCAGTACTTCTCAGATTATTTTCTTTTGATATTTGTCTTCTTTGAATCAGGTGATTCCTCAACTGATCGCTCGGATTGATACGCCACGTGCACTGGTGGGACGGCTCATTCACCAGCTACTCACTGACATTGGTCGCTACCACCCTCAGGTATTACCTATTACCTGGAGCTCATGATGGAGCCAATCTGATCCATACAGTACCACACACTGGAGTAAAAAAAAAAGCTATGCTAATAAAGACTTCATCTCCATGTAAAAGGCTATCACTTTTAAGTCATCTCACTTAGTTTATAAATTTATTATTTTATTTTTTATTTTTTAAGCATTTGGGTCTGTCGAAGTGCTTCCTAGTTGATACACGAGCCACTTTTCCACAGTCCAAACAGTTCTGTTTACTTAACAATTCCAATTGATCAGTTTCCAATGGCGCTAATAACAGATACTGTTTAGCACATTTTTTTTTTTTTTTTATTCATTAAGTTGCTTTTGCTTAGTTTTAGGTTCAGTATCTGTTCAGATTGTATTTAAATTGTATTTGTAAGCTGTGCAAATATTACACTTTGTTCCGGACAATTTAGCTAGAATTCTTAAAAATGAATCTGAAATTAAACATATAATAACTAAATTGAACTGTGCTTATGAAATAAAAACTAAGTTGTAATAAACTAAATATTAAAGTAACTAACTAAACTAAACAGCACATTTATAGTAAATTTAGAAATGGTATCGAAATAAAAACTATTTAAAATGGCATATTCCTGTTACTTTTAATTTATCTAAGCTTATATTATAGTATGTTTGGGACTTTTATTTTGAAAACTAAACCGTCGTTATAGAGCTCCCAGGTAATGCAACCAGGCATGGAATATCCCATCTTGTCACAGCTTGCCGTCAGAAAATTATGGAAAAATTCTAACCATAAGTGTTTCATTTACACTCACTGACCTTTTTATTACATACACCTTACTAGTACCGGGTTGGACCCCCTTTTTTTCCTTTCAGAACTGCCTTAATCCTTTGTGGCATAGATTCAACAAGGTACTGGAAATATTCCTCCGAGATTTTTGTCCATATCAACATGATAGCATTACGCAGTTGCTGCAGATTTGTCAGCTGCAAATCCATGATGCTAATCTCCTGTTCCACCACATCCCAAAAGGATCTGTTGACTGTGGAGGCCATTTCAGCCTTTGCAAATTTTTGCCTCAGTTTCCTGTTCTTAGCTGACAGAAGTAGCACCCAGTGTGGTCTTTTGCTGCTGTAGCCTATTTGCCTCAAGGTTGGATGTGTTGTGCGTTCAGAGATGCTCTTCTGCATACCTCGGGTGTAACGAATGGTAATTTGAGTTACTGTTACCTTTCTATCAGCTCCAACCAGTCTGGTCATTCTCCTCTGACCTCTGGCATCAACAAGGCATTTGCGAACCACAGAGCTGCCGCACACTAGATATTATCTCTTTTTTGGACCATTCTCTGTAAACCCTAGAGATGATTGTGCATGAAAATTCAAGTAGATCAGCAGTTTCTGAATTACTCAGACAAGCCCATCAGGCACCAACAACCATGCCACATTCAAAGTCACTTAAATAACCTTTCTTCCCCATTCTGATGCTCGGTTTGAACTGCAGCAGATCGTCTTGACCATGGCTGCGTTCAAAACCGCCTACTACTCAGTAGGTACTGCATTTGAATTTAAACGTACTACTCGGCCGTTAGAAAAGTACGTTCTATACAGTATGAATGTGAAAAGTATGAATGGAATTCGGATGTACTACATCCGCCATTTTGTCATGGTCACGTGACCTACCTGCGTCAGTTGCGTCGCGTCACTTCCATTCATGAATTCTCTCGCGGGGCATTATGGGATAGCGCAGTGTGCATGGGATGCGCACTCCAGAATCTCGCCGGAAGTAGTAAGTAATCCGGGTACTTCTCGCATACTGATTTTCGAATTCTATGAATTCGGCCAAACTACTCGGCTCACATACGGATTTTAGCATACTATATAGTATGGAAGTATGTGGTTTCGGACACAGCCCATTTCTACATGCCTAAATGCAATGATTTGCTGCCATGTGATTGGCTGATTAGAAATTTGCATTAACGAGCAGTTGGACAAGTGTACCAAATAAAGTGGGCGGTGAGTGTACATTTATGCATTGTGTCATTTACTGCAAATAAACATAAGAACTAAATAGAAATGTGCTCACAAAATAAAAACTTACTTTAACTCAGCATTAATGAAACTAATGAAACAGGAACTTAATAGTAAATTTAGAAAAAGTATTGACATAAAAATTAATTTAAAAATGCAAGACTATAATAACCTTGGTTCAAGCAAGATGTAAAACTGAAATTTGCATAATAGGACCCCCACGAAGGTCTGCAGGTCATCGGTGGTTACTCCAAGATTTCTGGCTGGCCTGGTTGGAATTAAAGTTAATGGTTCAAGCTGGATTTTTAAACTATGTAGTCTGTTTGAGTGGCTGAGAAGACAAAATGTTCAGTGTTCGCTAGATGTCCTTTCATCCATGCTAAGATGTCCACCAGGCAGATCCGGCGTGACCCCCACAGGATTGTCTGGTACAAATGAAAAGTAAACCTGTGTGTCATCGGCAGTGGTCGGGGAATTATGTACATAAATATCAGGTCTCAGGGAGGGTGTGAAAAGAGATAATGAACTGATCTCTAAGGTTTACTACACCCATGGCTAGTTGATATGCTTTAGATACCTCCCTCTTAAGGGAACCAAGTACTAAGTAGAGTATTTGCGTTTTCCAGTGATAGGAAGTTGGACAATGGGTTTGATGTTTGTTGTAAATTGAGAATCATTGACTTGGAGTCAGTTTTCACAATCTGCAATCTTCTATAATGAGTCTCAGATGAGTGTCCACTTTTAAGTCTCGACTGTTTTCTGTAAAACTGCTTATTTTTTGAAAGGCGATATCGGTTTAAAGTGTTTACAATCTAAATGAAAAGAGAGGACAGAGGCACTGTTTGTTACTTACTGATTAGTGTTGTGTTTTTAAGCACTGGGGTTACCCAGAATAGAGTGTTGTGGGAAAAACCTCTGTGAGAAGAGATGTGTTGATGGTGTGTGAGAGTACTAGTAGAGGTCATTTTGAGATAAAGCGCAAGATAATTTCAAGAGAAATGCGTCGAGGACTCTAGATTATTATCTGTTATTAGCTGCAGATAAAAACGTCTTGAGTTCCAGAATTTGAGTAGATGAGAAAGACAATTTTCTATAATAATATTAGCAAATGATTTAGCTGTTAAAGATGCAATAGAATGAAAATATGCATATACCCAAGCATACAGCATAGTGAGCCTCAAACAGCATGGTTTACTCATTCCCATGTAAACTCCATAAGTGTAAAAGTCCAATAAGTGTAAAAAAAGGCCAATCGGAGCAAAACACAGACTCTGAAGATCTACATGGGAACATTAATAAGCACACCTTTCCTAATAGGATAACAGCAATGATCCTTTTTCCGTTGTTTTTAAGTTTATCTAAGCTGGTATTATATTTACTGTGTTGGGACTCTTATTTTGAAAATAAGACAGACATTTTAGAGCTCTGAGGTAATGCAACCAGGCATGAAGTATCTCATCTCATCATGGCTTGTCATCAGAAAATTCTGGAAAGATAATCATAAATTTATTTAGCATGAGGTCTGTTTAAATATACCTTGTCACTTAGAGCTGTATATTGTGGAATTTGCTACGTTTGTTTATAATGAGGCATAAAGTCCTGCTAGATATAAGTGTTTATTTGACATTTATGCACTGTGTCATATCACTCAGCTCTTACTGTGATTTTTCTAGAGTGAAAGGATGCCAATAAACTTCGAAAACTCATGTTTATGCAGAGGGTGAAATTAATTCCTCCCTGTGTTTTTGTAACAGAGGTTAGGAGGTTAGCCTCCTTGTTAAGGCTGATTTATACCTCTACTTTAAGCGCACATGTATGATCCGGCACAGCCTCCACACGGTCGCATAGCCCTTGCCATGGCTGACGCGCACTTCTCAAAAAAAATTAACTTCACCTTGCAACGACACATAATGCAAGCTCTGTGATTGGTCGACTTAGTACATAAATATATACACTAGATATTGCATGCGGACCTTGAGCATGCGTCAATACCACCGCCATATTGGTAGAGTGCTACCAACACAAATGTCATTCAACCGCACTAGTCAAGACTTAAAGCCAATGTGAAGATGCTGGACTTTAGCCCTGTGTACGGGTGTAGTAAGGAGCAAACAAATAAACAAAGCACAAAGGCAGAACATTTTATAGGTAAGATTTTGTTTTTTACTATTTTGTATGTTATGAACATTTCGCGCGATATTGATGATAATACAGTCACTTACTGCACTAATCATAAGGCAAAGTAGCAGCAACTCCCACTGAATACTTGGCTTATGCTAGTTTTGTTGAATAAAAAGAGCTAGCAATTTAAATGTAATATGACCACAAGACGCTGATGCTAGAAACTTGTATTATTGGCGGCTAAGTGAACGAGTCGTTCATAACGGAGATTCATTTCATTAGAATGAGAAGTGAAGGCAGGAGAGGCGGTGTGTTTCAGGAAGCTAATTAGATCAAATTGAACAAGGAGGGAGGATAATAGATTTCCATGCACACAAACACTTGATCTTTGTTAGCAGTACTCGTGCGGTCACTTATCCATCGATGTAGAAAAGTGATGTTAAATCCAAATTGTCGTAATTTAAGAAAATATTTGCATACTGACCAGCGGGAAAACTCTATATGATAGTTATATGTATATATGTGTATATATTTCGGGCACTGGATGGCCAGTCCTCCACTGCACCTTGGTCCCACATTCATTTCAAAGAAGCACTACTCTGTACCAAAATGGCAGTTCTATTGATGCATCCCTTCCATGAGACAACAACAGCTTAGCTACTTGGTAGCAGTGACGAGTGTTGGCGGTGCTGAGAGCTGCGAACCTGACAGAGCGAGTGTTTACAAGTGTCCTGTGAAGGAGCTCCAGTTGAAAACTTTTGTTTTGTGTTTAACTTATGATTAAAATTATTGCACATCCACCAGTTACAGCCTCTGCATGAGCGAGTTTTAGCTACTTGTACATTAAGGTAGCGTTCAGAAAAAACAAAACAGCCACAAAAAAACTCGACACAGAAAAACATAGAAACCTCCTGCCAGCTAGTGTTTCGGAAGTGCAGAGCAACACAAACAGCATGCAGAAGTATAAATGCATGACTATGTGCAAGGCTGGCGGTGTGGGTCACAGCGGTCCCTCGTCACAGAAGGATAAACCAGCCTTTAGAGCTACTAACTCCCATTCGAAGAGTCGCCGATTCGATCCCAGCTCGGAGTGGGTTGGTTGCTGTAGGACCGGCAGGGTTACATTGGTGCCGTGACCCGGATGGGGGTGAATGTAACAGAGGCCAGCTAGTGAAGTGCTGTGCAGGTAAACCTCACTCCTCTGATCCTGAAAATGTGTTCTAGTGACAGACACTAAAGGTCTAAGCCTCCTTGTCAGAGCAACCGAGTCCCATGTAGAGAGTCGTTGGTTCGTTCCCAGCTCGGAGCGGGTTGGGTGGTGTAGGACCGGTGGGGTTACATTGGTGCCATGACCCGAATGGGAGTGAGGTTTAGGGAGCGTGAATGTAAAAGAGTGAAGTGCTGTGCAAACCTCACTCTTCTGAACCTCTAGTGACAGACGCTAGAGGCTATGATCTTTAGCCTCCTTGTTCGAGCAGCTGACTCCCATGCAGAGACTCGGCAGTTCGATCCCAGCTCGGAGCAGGTTGGATGGTGTAGGACTAGCGGGGGTTACATTTTCATTACAATAAAACCACAAAATCCATCTCCCTTTCGGCTCCTTTTGTCGAAATTATAATTTAGCTTAGATTTCTTCCACAACACAACTTAGGAGCAAACTAGGTTTCTCTGTTGGCATGAAGATCAAAAGCCTTTTGCTATGTTGGCATATTTCTGAAGCTTTGATCTTATTGCCAAAATATGATGCTGCATCAATCACGGAAAAAAGTAAAGCATATATATTTATACTTACTGAGGTAAGCTATATCTTTTGATTTATACTAATTTGGTCCAAAGGTCACCGGGAGTCTAAATGTAATATATTTTTTCTGACTTCTCTTGTATTTAATAACAATAAACTGTATTTTATATTGTGTATTTAAAAGTAGAATGCATGTAAACTAGACGGAAAATAAAGCCAAGGTAACAAAAGGCAAATCATTATCTAAAATTACATTAAAATTGTACTGCTGGTGTGCCTAAAGCATAATCTTGTGTTTTTGTTTGCAGAAGGGTGATATTCATGATTTCTGTTTGATCTGTTTAAGGCTTTGATTTATCCTCTCACCGTGGCCTCCAAATCCACAACCACTGCCCGTCACAACGCAGCCAACAAGATCTTGAAGAACATGTGTGAGCACTGCAACACGCTGGTCCAGCAAGCTATTATGGTATGAAAACACACTACGTTTGGCTGTCTATGAAGTAAATGTTTTATTAGGTACACAATGGCAATATTTACAGTCTTGGAAGCTATTTTGCTTCCTCTTTTCTGCTAGATTTTGCTCTCAGACAAAATATAAAGAATGAATTGACATTTCCTCAAATCATATAAATAATGTTAAAGCTCGCATGTCAAATCAAGCCTCGAGCCATCATAAAATTGTAGTTTCTGCTCTGTTACTAATAGGAATTGAAATATACCATGTTCATCATTGGAAATACGGTATTATTTATGTATTTTTTTATTATTAATTTTAAATGATTAAAAAAACAATGGATCTTGGTTTTATTCATTCAGCTAGTGAGTTTCTCTTTAGTATTTGAAAAAAAGGTAACAGTCCAACTTCACACACCCTGAGAATGAGACTTACAGTATAAAATAATAAAAGCTTGTATGATATGAAAGGAAGGGTTGCCAGGTTTTGTCGAAGCACTCAGAGGAAACCCACGGGAACGCGGGGAGAACTTGCAAACTCCACACAGAAACGCCAACTGACACAGCCGAGGCTTGAACCAGCAGCCTTCTTGCTGTGAGGCGAGAGCACTACCTACTGGACCACCGCGTCACCCCAATACAACCACATAAATACAAATAATAATTTAAGCCACGGAACAAAAAACAACCCAAGTAGTTAAAAGTAATCCAACTCGAGGACTTGGCAGCCATGATGGTGGGTATGGTAGCAGCTTTGGTAATTGCTATTTTTAAGCTTAGCCGAGGATAAAAACACAATCCGAAACATCTGCCAAAAATCCAAATCCCCACATGAGCACTGTTTCTACCCTTGTTTAGGTGAGCGAGGAGCTTATCAGGGTCGCTATTCTCTGGCATGAAATGTGGCACGAGGGGCTGGAGGAAGCGTCACGTCTATATTTTGGAGAGAGGAACGTCAAGGGAATGTTTGCCGTTCTGGAGCCCCTCCATGCCATGATGGAGAGAGGACCACAAACCCTAAAAGAAACATCATTTAATCAGGTAAAAACGCTCATAACTCACTGTAAAGTCGAATTCCGTATGTAAGAGACTTTTATAAGCTAATAATGTCATGTTACAGTTAAATCACCACTGTTAAGGAATATTTTGAGTCCAGTAAAATCACTTCACCACATGATTTATTGTGTATATTCTGTTTGTATATCAGGTAATAGTTCATTTTACAGTGTTGATGTTATATACAGTAGATGGAAGGCGTAATCATTATTACAGTAGGAATAAGGATGTTTCCAATAGTAACTTTTCACGTTAGTTCATAATACATTAGGATTACACTTTATCCATTATTTTTGGTGTCTTTTTAAATGCAAAAACAATAATAACAAAAGATTGGCTTTTGTTATAACAAATATTTTTGGATCTTTGACATTTTTAAAAATTCATATTTGCACATTTGAATTAAGACTTGGAGAACTTTTGTTTTATACCCAAGTTTTAGAAAGCAGATTCCCACCTGAAGTTTGTATTCCATGAGCTCTCACTCTAAACCGCTTCATTTTTAAAGCCAAATTATCAAAGGTCATTTTATTAGGTACTCCTTACTAGTACCGGGTTGGACCTTCTTTTGCATTCAGAACTGCCTTAATCCTTCTTGGCATAGATTCAACAAGGTATCGGAAATTTTCCACAGAGATTTTGCTCCATATTGACATGATCGCATCACGCAGTTGCTGCAGATTTGTCAGCTGCACATCCATGATGTGAATCTCCCGTTCCACCACATTACAAAGATGCTCTGAGATTGAGATCTGGGGACTGTGGAGGCCATTTGAGTACAGTGAACTCCTTGTCATGTTTAAGGAACCAGTCTGAGATGATTCATGGTTTATGACGAGGCGCGTTACCTTGCTGGAAGTAGCCAGTACACTGTGATCATAAAGGCATGGACATGGCGAGCAAAACTACTCAGCTAGGCTGTGGCGTTGACAAGATGCTCAATTGGTACTAATGGGCCCAACGTTTGCCAAGGAAATATCCCCCACACCATTACACCACCACCACCAGCCTGAAATGTTGATTCAAGGCAGGATAGATCCATGCTTGCGTGTTGTTGAGATAAATTCTGACCCTACCATCTGAATGTTGCAGCAGATATCGAGACTCATCAGACCAGGCAACGTTTTTTAATCTTCTATTTTACCTATTAGTGAGCGTGTGCGAATTGTAGCCTCAGTTTCCTGTTTTTTATATGTGACACCCAGTGGGATTGTCTACTGCTTTAGCCCATCCGCCTCAAGGTTGGAAGTGTTGTGCCTTAAGAGATGCTCTTCTGCATACCTCTGTTGTAATGAGTAGTTATTTGAGTTACTGTTGCCTGGAACCAGTCTGGCCATTCTCATCTGACCTCTGGCATCAACGAGGCATTTGCGCTCACAGAATTGCCGCTCACTGGATATTTTCTCTTTTTCAGATCATTCTTTGTAAACCGTAGAGATGGTTGTGCGTGACAATTCCAGTAGATCAGCAGATTCTGAAATGCTCAGACCAGCCTGCCTGGCCCCAACAGCTATGGCACATTCAAAGTCCCTTAAATCAGCTTTTTCAGCATCATTCTGATGCTCAGTTTGAACTGCAGCAGATTTTCTTGACCATTTCTACATGCCTAAATGTATTGAGTTGCTGCCATGTGATTGGCTGAATAGGAATCTGCATTAACGAGCAATTAAACAGTTGTGCCTAATAAAGTGGCCAGTGAGTGTATAGAATGTAAATCAGCCTTTAGCACTCCTATTGGTTCATGGTTAAACAGTCATCATCGTTGAAGTGAAGTATTGTCAGGTATTGTTACTCATACACCAAATTAGTCCCCTACCGGAACCGGGAATCAAACCTGCAACCTTTCGATTACAAGGCCAACTTCCGACTGCCCACTGCTTTCCATTATGTCTATCCAATAACTTTGTCCCAGACAAAATCACCCATTGAAGATTACATATTCTAGCCTAGAATTATAAAACTTTATGATTATAGAATCTTTAATGATTCCTAAATTGTGTCTCAGATGTGCAATTCTTGGACAGAATTGCACAGTGTGAGTCTGGTTCTATTTAACACACCATTCTTAGGTCTTGAACTCTTTACTAACAAGCTGATGAGATCATTCAGGTGTGTGTGTGATTAAGGAGGTATTAAAAATGTGCAATGATGTGCATTCTACTAGAACAAGGCTGGAAAACAATGCTTTAGGTGAAGTTGGGAGATTTGTTTTGTTCCTTGTTTTCACAATGTGTGTACCAGGGCGGGAGTGGGACTCCTTTTTAGCTCTGGAGTTTCAAGCCTTAGACCGGCCCACCTCAGTCAACGACTGACAATATTAAAATAACGTCATTTCCAATTCAGTTTCAAATGACACTAACACGTCTTTTTCAAGCACACTGCTGCTTTAGAACTTCAAATGTTTTTCATAAATTTGAGAACATTAATTCTTTATAGATATCCAGTCCTTTGTAACAGTCGTCACACAGAAAAATATGTATTCCTATATAAGTAGCCCAAACAGTATTTTATGTCTTAGCACTGAAAAAAAAAAACATTTTTTATTCTGCTGAGATTTGAACTCGGGTCGGCTGTGTCAATGCGTAACGTGCTAACCACTAGACCACGATGGCGCTGTTAAGCACTGCCGTGCAAAGCGTGTGTTTTTTTACCCTACTCCTTCTCCCCATTTTAGATTTCTGATCAAGTTATGTTAAGATTAAAAGTTAAGATTTATTAATGTAGTAAATCATCAGATTTTTATTGAGCAGGTGTAATATTTATTAATAATAATTAATATTCACTAAGGTGCCGCTGTTTTGGGTGGAATGGAGTGCAGCCCGCAGGTTAATGATGATCATCATTAACCTGCAGGCTGCATTTAGCTCACGGGGCTGCGAGAAAATAAATAAAAAGAGCAGAGCTGCGGCAAAATATTAATTAAAAAGATTGAGGTTATGGTCAAATAAACAAATAAATTAATAAAGTGCAACTGCTGAGAGTGCAAGCAGCTAGGGACACCGGCCCTCGCGGCCAAAAAACAGACCGGCCCACCGGGAATTCTCCCGGTTCTCCCGATCAGCCAATCCGGGCCTGGTGTGTACTAATAGTATTTGTTACTGCTGTGTATAAATGTTGAGTAGATAATGATCTGCCCTGTATCACTTTCCTTTTTCTAATTGTGGCTTTGATTTCAGGCTTATGGCCGAGATCTGATGGAGGCGCAGGACTGGTGTAGAAAGTACATGCGATCGGGTAACGTCAAGGACCTGACGCAGGCCTGGGATCTGTACTACCATGTGTTCCGCAGGATCTCCAAACAGCTGCCACAGGTCTGACAACTGCATTTTTAACTCTCTATAACTCAGAATAGATTACTTAAATCAGCCAGAAGCAATATAATCATACATACAAGTTGATGGATTGTGGATTGAGAACAAAAAATATGAACCATGTTAAAACTTACTAGCAAATTGTTTCATGAATGGAAAGAGGTATTTCAGAATGAGGACTGAAATGGGCACATTTTAGTTTGGTTTAGTTAAAATTGCTACAGTACTTTATTAAAGTGAACATCTTGTTTTTTAACATACCTATAGTGGTTTTCAGGACTGGGAAGGTTACTTTTAAAATGTACCGTACATGCTTGAATATAAATGTGTTTGGTTACATTACTCAGTTTACTAACTTAATCTAAATACCTTAGAATACTTTGAAATACAAATGTGATAAAAACGAGCCCAGCAGCTGGTCTTCAGGGGAGAAATGCAAGTTCATGAGGGACCAAAAATGATGGCTCATTCACTGAGGACTGTCATGCAAGTTGGTGTTTATTTACAGTGCCAGAAAGTCCATCCACAGTGAAGGTATATACAAGTGCAAAAAACTAACAAAAATCCAAAAGAAACTATAAACAGGAAAGTAAATTAGAAAAAATACATATACTCCAAATATATCTAATAAAATAACAACAGGTGTCCACAATATACAAACTTGGTTAACTTGAGGCACCGCAGTAGAACTCTTGGTAAAGAAGTATCGCTCTGGAGTGAGTTGGGCTCTGGCTTATATAGCCCCAGCTCCCACCCCTTTTGGGCTATACCCTTCAAAGGTAAGTATAACAATTAACAAACGCACATACACTGCATTACACAAACAAATGGGACGCCATGCTGTTTCATGCTGCATTCCAAGCTTCAAAACACATAAAGCATAATAAAAGTAGCCAAAACAACTGGACGTTTTCTACACTGTCGCATTATGGGTGGGGTGCTAAATAGCTAACATGGATTTTATTGGGAGAATAGCTGTGTTTATGTGCTTTATGAAGGCTAAAAAACGCGTCGCTTTGTTTGGAGCTGTGTCTGAACCTGGATGATGGAAGCTTTCAGTGGTGCTTCCGACTGAGCCGAGCCCAGTTTGATGAACTGTCGTCCGGTGTTGGCAGAAGGATTTTCCCCCGAGACATCAACAACAGGCGCTACGTCATAATCACTCTCCTACAAGAGCAAGCTCCTGGTTCGTTAACGCGTCGCGAATGTCTGCTGAAGTTCAGATTTTCGAACTCGAGCGAAACGCTCAACTTGTGCCACTTCATTTACGTGAATCTCGTTATTCGCACCGCCTTATTAGCGCATATTGCGCCACAGGATGTCTTTTTGCATCTTTTAACCTGTAAATCACTCGCGCTTCTTTCGCATTTGGTGTGAACGCAACATTATAGTGACTTGAGAACGCCATCATTCTAATATCTCACTTTAACTTTTTATGGTGTAAGCTTTTCAAGCTTTATCCTTCAACCTTTTGTCTGATCTTCAAACTGCTCTGACTTGGGTTGCTATATCTTTTCCAACTGATCCGACTTACAGTTTTCAAAAAATGACCCAGAAATTTCTAAAAAGTCCCATTGACTTAAAATTGGGTCAAACTATCAATTTTAACATCCTACTGACATGCTGATGTTGCTGCAAATATGTTTGCAGCATGCTAGTCATGCTAATTTATGTTATCAAAATGCAAAAATCATGCTAGTTACATGCTAAATCATGCAAATCAATGTAAGAAACATGCTAACAACATGCTGATCCATGCTAGTTACATGCTAATTAATGTTGTAAACATGCTAATAATATGCTTCTTCATGTTGGATTTATGTTAACAACATGCTAATCAGTGTTAGAAACATGTTAATTTATGCCAGAATCATGCTTGTTACATGGTAATTTATGGTAGAACCATGCTAACAACTTGCTAATTCATGTTACAAACATGCTAACATGATAATTTATGCTAGAAAGATTTATGCATTCAGCTAGATTCATGCTAATGAAATGCTAATTTGTTGGAATCATGCTAATTTCAAGCTAGATTTGTGCTAACAACATGCTAATTTATGCTTTAGAAATAATCCTAATTTATCATTAGGATTAGGAATGTAGACAAGGATCCTGCTTTATAACTACTTATTAACAGTTAATATAATTTATTACTTAAATTTTTAGAAATATATAATGTAACTGTTCAACATTATAAATGTGAGAAAACTGAAGGAGTTACTGGGGAAAATTTTTCAAGAGATCAAGAACTTCCTTGTGCTTTTTCAGGCTGATCGTTGAATCATTCAATACTAATGAAGGTTTTATTGAACATACTCTAGGTATAGATTCACTGTACTGAGATGACGCATCCTTTTTCAGATTAATAATAAAAACGTTGTATTTTGATGAGATAAATGCATTCCGCATGGCTTTCTGATCCATCCATTTTTGTGTGCTGATATTGAACGTTACTACTAGCTGCTACATGCACAGACTGCTTTTTAAACTGAGAATCAGTTGCCTTTTTGGTTAAACTCCCGGTTTACCTAAATAATAAATGACATCAAATGACATCAGAATTTGTAAGTATTAACTTTAGTAATCTAAATAAGTTTTCGGATGTAACTAATTTGATTACCACCTATTTAAAAGGTAGTTCAATATCAAATAAGATTCAAATTTGAAGTATTCACTTTGGTAATCTTTTCTGGTGTACTGCCGCAATTATAACAAAATACAATTACTTTTATTTTGAATGCCGTTTCATGTAATTGGTTACTCGCAGGTCCTGTTGATAACGCTATATAAATGTGTTTATTTATGTGGTCTTTGTCCACAGCTCACTTCTCTAGAGCTTCAGTACGTCTCACCTAAACTGCTGATGTGTCGTGATTTGGAGTTGGCTGTGCCTGGAACATATGACCCCAATCAGTCAATCATACGCATCCAGTCCATTGCTCCCTCGCTGCAGGTCATCACCTCCAAACAGCGGCCACGCAAACTCACCATCATGGGTAAGAGCACGGTTCATATTTGCCAGCTAATTGGTCAGAAATACAAAGGGGAAATAAATGTAGCAATAAAACACACAGCTTTATATTTGCTCATAGCTAGCTCTAAGAACTGTAAATGTGTATGTTTTTAATACTGCATTTTGTCAAACTGCCTTTTGAGTAAAGGACTATGAATTTTGTCTATGTACAAAAATGTAAAAAGGGAAATAAATTAGAAATGAGGATATAGTTTATATATATATATATATATATATATATATATATATATATATATATATATAGCATGTTGTTAATTTTTGCTCTTTTTATCCAATGGCATGGGGCCTGCAAAATTCAATTCACAAATACAAACAGAATGATTGATTGATTAATTGATTGATTGATTGATTTATTGATTGGTTGATTGATTGATTGATAATAATAATAATAATAATAATAATAATGCCACTTTAATAATGATGAGAAAAAAGGAAATTTATTTGTTTATTTTTTTTATATTTTTGTAATATTTTTTATGATTGATTAATAATAATAATAATAATAATAATGATAATACAGTTTTTAAATAATGATATGAGATCAGGATATATATTTTATTGATTTTGAAATAAATGTTTTTAGAAAATTTAATTAAATATAAAATTATATAAAATAATTATATAAAACATATAAAAATTATTACACTTATGATTAATAATAATACAGTTGTTAATAATGATGAGAGATTAGAATTATATAAAATAATATTATATAAAATAAAAAATATGACTAATAAAAATAATTTTAGTAATAATAATAATAATAATTTATAATAATAATAATACAGTTTTTAATAAAGATAAAAGATAAGGATATGTTTTTTTAAATATGTATTATTTATCAAATTAAATGTTAAATATGTTTTTATTAAATATTACATTATAGAAAAATATTACAAATATGATTACTAATAGTAATAATAATACAGTTTTTAATAATGATATAAGGATATGTTTTTTCAAAAAAAATAGGATTGACAATAACAATAATAATAATTTTTTTAAAAAGATATTATTTTTATTAAATTAAATATTAAATAATTTTATAAAATATTAAATTATATAGAAATTATTACAAATACGATTAGTAATAATAATACAGTTTTAATAGTGATGAGAAATAATGATTAAGAAATTTTAAAAATAAAATAAAAATGATTAATAATAATATTAATAATAATAATAATACAGTTTTTAATAAAGATAAGAGATAAGGATGTTTTTTTAATTATGTATTTTCATTAAATCAAATATTAAATAAAAAATGTAAATAAATATTAATTTAAATAATTATTAAAATATTGATAATGAACTTAATAATATTAATGCAGTTTTTAATAATGATGAGAGATAAGGAAATATATTTATTTTGTTAAATTTTTATTAATTTAATTAATAATAATTTCATTATCTTTTATTTTAACAATTGATTTATTATTATTGTTCATAACAATTATTATTATTGTGTTTTTTATTAAATAATATATAAAAGTAATAATAATTAAAAAATTATATAAAATATGTTTATGTAAAACAATATTATATAAAAAAAATAATGGCAACACTTTAGGTCACAATTCACACTATTAAAAACCATTAACTAATACTTATAGCTTAATAAAGTATTATATAATTAGCTGTTTAATAATAGTCAATAAGGTAGAAATTGGGTTTAGGTTTTGGGTAGGGTTAGGGATGTTAAATAAGATCGTACTTCATAACTACTAAATAACAGTTAATATCTTAATAATAGGCAGGTAATAAGCCAGTAGTACATAGCATAAATTGTGACCTAAACTAAAGTGTGACCAAAATTAAAAATGATTTAAATATGACATATAGACATCTTTGTTCTTTTGTGTAAAAATAAAACAAGGGTTTGTGAGTTGTGGAGTGCAAAAGTGTAATTCTGTCTTTGTTTCCTATACACATGCTGTAGTCTGGCCAGTAAAGGTGAATGCATGTAGAACAGTGCAGTAGGATTTAAAGGATTTGACAAAGCTTTCTCTGTTCTCTTCTGCACCCTGCAGGCAGCAATGGCCATGAGTTCATGTTCCTGCTGAAGGGTCATGAAGATTTACGACAGGACGAGAGGGTCATGCAGCTTTTTGGCTTGGTGAACACTCTACTGGCTAATGACCCAGCCTCCCTGCGCAAGAACCTGAGGCAAGTCTCTTGTGTTCATGTGTCTGAGCATTGCAGAATTTCAGACGTTCTCATTTATTTACAACACATTATGTCAGGCAAAAAATGGAAATAATATACTCTTGCATAAAAAAACACAAAGCTGACAGCTGTTGGTTTGGTATGTTCCACACTTTGCCTCTCGTCAAATAAATGTTAGGCCGATAAAGTATGTAGAATCCGAATCAGCCTTTGGCCTAATTGTCTCAATGGTACGGTTTAGTTCAGTGCGGTATGGTACTGCTCACCTTTGTCAGGTTTGTGTTTCCATTGCCAAATGGTACCAACGGTACTCTTTTGATGGACGTGGTTTACGACAGAAAGTTGCAGACGATGTCATTCTCGCTGGAGGAAATATCAAAGTAAAGCTATACAAGTTGTTCACAAATCGTATAAATAACAGACTCTTTATACACATAAATAGGCCGTTTTTGTATAAATGGTATTAACTAACCTTTCTACGAACAGGATTTGACTATAGTTGCAGATCAATGATAATGTGAAATAGCCTACTGTAACGTGCAATTATATTAAATACAAATTTTAATTTGTAAAACAAATATAAACAGAGGATCGCTCTGATTGGTTATTCAGCAAGGAATTAAAGTACTAGAACAAAAACCGTGGTAATGCACCTAGGTAAACAATTCGAGTCAAGAAGGAACACAGAGCCAGCTGTAATTTCCCTTTATTTCTCAAATATTTGCAAACGATATGAATTATTAGATTATCAGACATTTTTGCCGGATCGAATCCCTTCGTGGTGAGTGACAATTACTGTGGTAATTATACTGAAGGCTTTATTTACGCTTTGTATGTGCGCATTTGGCGAGGCAGTGGCGCAGTAGGTAGTGCTGTCGCCTCACAACAAGAAGGTCGCTGGTTTGAACCTCGGCTCGGTTGGCGTTTCTGTGTGGAGTTTGCATGTTCTCCCTGCCTTCGCGTGGGTTTCCTCCGGGTGTTCCGGTTTCCCCCACAGTCCAAAGACATGCGGTACAGGTGAATTGGGTTGGCTAAATTGTCCCTTGTGTATGAGTGTGTGTGTTAATGTGTGTGGATGTTTCCCAGAGATGGGTTGCGGCTGGAAGGCCATCCGCTGCGTAAAAACTTGCTGGATAAGTTGGCGGTTCATTCCACTGTGGCGACCCCGGATTAATACAGGGACTAAGCCGACAAGTAAATGAATGAATGAATGAATGAATGAATGAGCATTTTATCTTCTAGTTATTACAATGTTCGAGAGAGCTTAACGACCTGCAATTTAAGAAAACACATACAGTTACTAAAAAAGGCATCAAATTCATGTACACACAAATAGCAAATAGCATGAAACACAATGTAAATGTTTAAAGGAAACCCTAAAACGTGATGAATTTGGCTATTTAGGTTATGGGCTGTGACTGAAATCGCATATTTCCATACTATATAGTACTCTAAAATCAGAATACGAGCCGAGTAGTAGACGTAAAACAGTAGGCGAAAAGTACCCGGATGACGTATTACTTCCGGCAAGAATCTGAAGTGCACGTCCGATGCACGCTACACTATCCCATGAAGCACCGCGAGATAATTCATGAATGTGACTGAAGTGATGCAACTGAATTGATCATTCTGTCATGTGATGAACGAACGACTAATTATCTACTAATTACTAACTAATTTTCATGGCTCCTATAGACTCAGACTGTGTACTTTGGTTAAGATTATATATGACTGTCAGTGTAACGTGATCGAACCAATGGGGACACGAACAGCTACTAACATAATGAAAGGGTAATAAATTTGCCCAGAGTGTATTGTTGAAATTTTCCCAAAATATGTGTCAAAATAAGATTTGTCACCAAAGATCATTCATTTGCTGAAACACAGAGAAAGTTTTGGCCAAATGAAGACACAAAACCACTCCAGAGTGGATGAAAACATCCTAAACAGCACACAAGGGTTAAATAGTCCAATTATAAAAACTTTTTTTTTTTTAACAAAATGCTAATAGTCAAATCCGATTTATTTCACTATGCTAAGCTAAGCTAAAAGTGATCAACATGAAATCGGCTGAATGGATTCAAAATTGATTCAAGTGCATCTCTTGGAGACTTTTTCCAAAAAAAAAAAGTGGAGTGTTTCTTTAAAGGTGATAACAGTTTCTCTCATTTTCAGCTGCTCCCATTAGGGATTGTGAGGTTATTTATGTGGAACAGCTTTTACACTAGATGTCTGTCATGAAGCAACCATGCACTGGGACCACAACTCACACATTCAATTAGCATATCCAGTCCAGCTAAACTGGAAGTCTTTAGATAATAGGGGGGAACAAAAGCAACCAGGAGGGAACTCATGTTAACATGGTGAGGAACTAGCAAACTACACATAGACAGACCTTCTTGTTCAGCTGCTTCTTTAACTGCGGACCATCTTGCTGTAAGGCAACAGTGCTACCCACTGAGCTTAGCTGGTATTACACAGCGTTTGCACAGGTCAGAGGATTTCAGTAATATCATGGAATGTTAAAAAGTCTATTCCAGATATCGAAAGTCTGGAATTTTATATCTGCATTTGCTGTCCAAGACTTGGATTATCAGGGATTTTGGGGGCATCACACAAATGTTTTGTGTCTATTTTTATAGTTTTCAGCTCCATTTTCTGTATTTAATGCTCTTCAGCTGGCATTCACTAAAGTCAAACGCATGAACCAGACTGTAACTAAGGTAAAAATACCAGGATGAAACACATTTTAAGAGTTTTGACTTCCAAATGAGTATTTAAAAGTCTGGCTGTCAAAAAGAAGATGACAAAGTTCCATTTAAATTGGTAAAACTACTCTCGAGCTATCAAACATGGAAGTGGGAGCACTTCACAACCGCACGAACAGCAAGTACCTTATAGTTCTTTTAAAATCTGAGGCAAATAATCTATTGTTGTTTTCATTGTGGCAATTAAAATTATTCAAAATGAGATATAAGCGTATATAAATCATTTTAATATTATGCCAGTCACAACAGCGGCCTGTTTTCGCATTAATTATAGGCCATGAAAATTCAGCTTTATAGTCAGTTATGTCAGGGAAAGGTTGAATTTGATATTTCGCTTTGAATGGGAACTTTGATTACAGTATCATCACCTTTGGTGAATATCACCTTTGGTGATAGTCAAGTGTTTATTAAAAAATATTCATATAAGAATCTAAAGATGAATATGTCTATAGAGTAATTACTGTGTCTTTTTCACAGTGATGACTACAGTAACTTTGGCAATTTATGCTTTATATATACAATAGACCCCAGTAAAACAGAGACTCATTTATGTTAATATTCAATACTTCTTTTTTTTTTTTAAATAATTTCAGAGAACTTAAAAACTATTTACCAAGAGTCATATAACTGTGCATACACACGGGGCTTCAGCGTCAACGCTTGACTGAGGGCGTGTCTGAAGATGGGGCTGACATGATTATCCTAACAGCGTCAAATGAAATTTGTCCACAATTGGCTACTGTCATAGCTGGGGTATTTGCATAAAGCAATCTGATTGGCTGGCAATTTCGTTGGCACTTGAAAAGTTGAGAAATCCCCAATTTCGGCAGCAAGCAATGAGCAATGAACGTCATTCATTCAAAGGGAATGGAAAGCGCTGACGCCCTGTGTGAATGAGGCATTACAAGTCTTGAGACTAGTGGATTTGTCCTATTTCTAATTATCACTAAGCTTATGGTGTAGTTACATTTTGATGTTGTCATTTTTGTGGCTCATGTTTTGATTTTTTTCTCTCTCTCTATCTCTGATAAATGTTTCTTTTGAGCAGTATTCAGCGCTATGCTGTGATCCCGCTTTCCACCAACTCTGGCCTGATTGGCTGGGTTCCTCACTGTGACACGCTGCACGCACTGATTCGAGACTACAGAGAGAAGAAGAAGATCCTGCTCAACATTGAACATCGCATCATGCTCAGGGTAATGTGTCAAACCCTAAAATTAGTTTTTTACTGTAAAATTACTGTACGGTTTCTTGCTGTATTACTGAAAATTACTGTATCCTACTGTATTCATTTTGACCGGAAGTTGCTGCAACTTTTATTTCACGACTTCCACATGAAGTTGAATGTTGTTAAGGGGGCGGAGCTTTTTGTGCATCATTTCCTCATACTAATGGTAAAAGAGGCGTGGTTAAGAATATTGTGGCTGAAGCCACCAAACTGACATCAGCAGTGAAAGACCACCACTCCAAAGTTTCAAACGGTTGGACGTTGACACTAAACGTAGACCTTATTAGACCTTAAAAACTTAGGAAAATGACTGTATTGTGGAATATCAATGGAAAGACATTTTAAAGATAGTCCACTCCTCCTTTATATGCGCCAGACATGACCTAATGCAATGTGAGGTGCTCCACAGAGCTCACTTGACTAATGCAACATTAGCACAGAAAAATTCCTGGTAAAATTGATGTCCATCATCGTTGTAAGCAGTCTCCTGCTAACCATCTCCATATGTTTTAGAGTTGCCGCAGCTGACAAATTTCTGGTCCAGGGTTTTGATACACTTAATACGCATAAATCTAGACCCTAACCTCTTGACAGCCCGTTTTGTAATTTCAGAGACAGCTGACTTGACTGTTGCTTCTGGCCAGTTTTTAAAATTTTTTTTTATTTACTCATTTATTCGTAACAGCGTAATTTTTTAATTGGATTTATTTTTTCCGTTTTCAGAGGATATATTTGTATTTAATTAATTGAATTTATTTTAGGGGGGTTGTGGGAAGATAAAAACATTAAAACATTCTTTAATTTTTCTTATTCTGTATTATATACTACTATGTATGGTGTTGTATGGTCTAAAAAAAAATCTTATGATCAGACTTTAACCAAACAAACTTGTTCATTTGACAAGTGTAAGGGCTCCGTTCCATGCCCGGGCGCAGCGCAGATTGAAAGAAGTGGTGCAAAGTGTACTGTCAGTGCAAAATGCACCAGAGCGCGAAACTGAAGATCCAGCGTCAATTTTGAGAGAGTTTTATATACACTTCTCTTCCTAACTGAACAGTTGCATCATCGATAACATAAGCATGCTCAGACTCAGAAGGTAAAACTCTAATGTATGTGCGGGCCGAGGGGGAGAAGGGAGAGCAGACAATCACATTCCCTGTTGCTGGTTGAATAAAAGTAACTTTGAATTTGCCAGGGATATGAATCATTTTAGACGTGGCTGTATTTGGTGCTATAGAGCTTAAAAGTCTCCCCATTTGTTTCAGATGGCCCCTGACTATGACCATTTGACTCTAATGGAGAAGGTGGAAGTGTTTGAGCATGCAGTGAACAATACTGCAGGAGATGACCTGGCCAAACTGCTTTGGCTGAAGAGTCCCAGTTCAGAGGTTTGTAATCATCATTTCTCATTCAAAAGCAAAAGTTTTGTAAACATGCTTCGTTAATGCGAGACTCTTATCGCGCAATAAAATAAATATCGCCGTTAATCCATTCTCAAAGTTGGGTTGGGAGCTGGGTCTATTCTACGCAAGCTATGATGACTTTCACCTTGATATTTTAGCGCGGATGTATACCTTGTCGACTGTGTATACCTTGCACTGTAGGTGGCGAGAACGAGTCTTCGAACCTGTGTGTATTCCTACTGTGAAATTACCACATCAAACGTGACGTGCTAACATGGATGCAGTTCACTAGAGTGAATCTAATTAATGTTAGCTACACATCAACCTATCAGGCACCTGTAGAGTTTATGCTTTTGAGTAAGACATATACAAATAAAATGGAGCGAGTGCTTTTTAAAATGAATGACGGTGAATGAAAGGCCAACCGGTGAGCCGTCTGACAAAAAAAGTGCCCTTCTGAATCACATGAGCAGGATGCCCTTCTAAATCTTCCCCTTACTTCGAAGACACTACTGACTACTTTTACATGGACATCTGTAGCCTAGTTATTTTCCTTAATTGTCAATAATATAATTATGGTGTTTACAGAAAGTGCGTTTTATGTAAGAGTTTCCTGTAATTTTGGGTGACTTTAACTGCAGTTCGGCAGTTTCACCTGGCTTGAGAAACCTGTTCTCAAAGACTTACTTTTAGTCATTATTTGGGTAGCACACATATTCTGAATGCCTTCGGCAGAATTAAATGAGCCATTTTAATCTAGATTAATCTATATATATTTATACAACAGTTCTGTCTGGATCGCGAATCTGATTGACTGATAGCCGTGATATATTTAAGTAATATCAGCATCCGTACAGCCTCTTTACCCTTTGTGTATTACTCCGCCCACATACAGCCAGCAACAAGCAGACACTACAGTTTGACAAATATTACTGCGGTTAGACAACAAAATATACTTTCGAGGCTTTAGTCGAGAATGTAGTTGTTTAGATTGCAACTATGCATTTTATTTGCAAGAATACTGCCTATTTTAAAACATTTACCTTTTCTGAGAGCTCGTTGGCGGCCAAAGACAGTTGTCGTTGTGTTTCCACAAGATGGCGCCAGAACCGCATAATAAACCCTTGCTCAGTGTGTTCTCTTGAGCGCGAATAAAAAGCTGAAAAACGGAAGCCTCGTGGTTTTTAAAGTGGACCGGATAGAGTCAATAAGAAGCTGCGAATAAGAAGCTGGATTCAGCCTTGTCCCTCCTTATCGCAAACACAACAGCAGTCTGGTGAGAAATCTCTGTTGACGAATGGCATTTCATGTCACGTTCAGCCTTATAAAATTTGCTGTTTTGTCATCACCTTAAGGGGGTCACACACCAGAAGCACCACTTCACGTTACGCTATAGAGAATCATTCAAATACTAGCTCTAAAGTGACGTTGGTGAATTAGTAACGGCTTCTGCTGTTCTGACGTCAGCTGCAGATGTGAATGAATCATGCCTCCCACCATTGCTGATATACAGCCATAGCACACTGCTACACTTGTGATATTGCGCATATATATTTATATATATATATATATATATATATATATATATATATATATATATATATATATACACACACACAGAAACTTGGTTGTTTTAAGATATAGAAAATAATAAATAATAAATCTCCTAGCTGGCAGAGCCCACATGAAATCTGAAACTACTGATTTCAAACTTTTAATTAATTTATTTATTTGCTTGTGTATATATATTTCATTCATTAAATGAAATTCAGTAATATTGAATAATATGCAAATGTTCAGATGATTTGTCTATAGTACAATTTGTAAAGTGTTTTCTCTTTTTCTGGTATTATATGAGGAGGTAAGTGTTTATTTATTTAGCTGTTTTAGTTACATTTACAGCTACTATAGTTTATTCATAAAACCCTTTTGCATAAAACTGTGGATTTCTTTACCAAATTCTGTGCAGAAAAAAAATCTGTGGATTCTGTCAGGCCCTTCTCATGTTATTGTGAAAATAAAGTTCTGAGCTCTAAAAGTTCATAAAACAATTCTACAGGAGTTGCAGCAAATTCTGTCAAAAGTCCCTTTTAAGTAATTTTACATGCAGTGCAAACATTCTTTCATTAAAGGGCACCTATTATGCCTCTTTTTACAAGATGTAAAATAAAGTCTGCAACAAGAATCAGTCCAAGGCACTCGAGTAAAGTGAAAAAATTAAAAAGCCTTTATTCACATGGCTAGATCTCTAAAAACCAACGCGTTTCGGCAGAAGTCTGCCTTCATCAGGGTAACAGTGATCAGGTGCGTCTAGAGTCTCTTTTGAGTACTACGGTCACATGACTCATTTAAACATCTCAAATGGCACTCAAATAATTTAACAAGCAAACTCTACTCTATATTTGTGGCCTCAGAGAAATGAAAGAAACCATTATCAGAGAAGGAGATCTGTGTCCTTTAATCTACCAAGTAGTGATGATGATCAGTCGACATTGGAGAAGTCACCTAGAAGAGATTTTTTAGGAAACAAATCAAGAACATACCAAAGGTTTGGAAAACCGGCAAGCGAAAAACGAGACGAGGGAGAAAGAGATCGACCAAGATCCCAGATCCAGGGCAGATACACACGGAGCCGAACAAAGGAGATGAGGTGATAAATATCTCCAATATATCCCTATCGACAAGTTGTACATCAGTTCTATCAAAAGGCTTAACATACTCCCCGGTAAATACAGCGAACGAATTTCAGACCAAAGTGGACTTCAAAGTTTAAATTTCATCGTAATCTACAATTAAAGGTTTGGTATCACACCTCTACGGCAGAAGCGCGCACCTATGAAGAAAAAAAGACAATCTTTAAGCCCAAATCTACGTTTATTCCATGTGTCTCCAACCCGACGTTGAACTCGTTCTACAAGAAAGTCTCCTATGAAATGGATAATATTTTTGCCTCAAAAAAGAAAAAACATTTTAATCTTTCAAAAGACGAGATTAACGCTTTGGACTGGTTATCAACTAATGACAATCTTATTATTAAAAGAGCGGACAAAGGTGGTGCCGTTGTGGTATGGGGCAGAGATGATTATATCAAAGAAGCCTTACGACAACTACAGAACTGTGAGTATTATCAACCTTTGAAATTTGATCCGGCAGAAAAGATAAAAACGGAACTGATGGAAATACTGACTTTTGCTAAAACCGAAGAATGGATTACACAGAATGAGTTTGAGTTTTTGTGGTCAAAAGAACCTAGAATCCCTACTTTCTATATGCTGCCTAAAATACATAAGAATTTAGAAAATCCACCCGGCCGACCTATAATTAGTGGGAATGAATCGATCACAGAACCTGCCTCAAAATTTGTGGACTATTTTATAAAACCTATTGTTAAAGATCTGCCCTCTTACATTCAGGACACGACTCAAGTATTAAATACGATTAAAAATATGCAATGTGATAAAACCTGTATACTGGCAACTATGGATGTTGAATCATTATATACAAATATAGATCATAGAGAAGGTCTAGAAGCATTGTTATACTATCTAGAAAAGAGACCATCGCCAAAAAAACCACCAACATGTTTTATTGTACAGTTGGCTGAATGGACATTGAAGAATAATGTTTTCTTGTTTCAAGATCAACTTTATAAACAGATAAAGGGAACAGCTATGGGAGCTTGTTTTGCCCCAAATTATGCAAATCTATTTTTGGGATTATGGGAAGAGAGATTTGTATATTCTGAATCAAATCCTTATTTGAGTAGCATTGTGTGGTGGGGTAGATATATAGATGATGTTATTCTGATATGGTCTGGATTGGAGGCAGATTTGAGGCAATTTCATGCTTTTTTAAATAATACTAACGCAAATCTGAGATTCAGCTTGGATTTTTCATTCACTCAAATACATTTTTTGGACTTAAACATTTTTAAAGATACTACAGGAAAATTACATACCACCATTTTTAGAAAAGAAACAGATAGAAATACAATCCTGAGAGCAGATAGTTTCCATCCTCCATGGCTGATCGAAAATATTCCTTTTGGACAATTTCAGAGATTGAAAAGAATTTGCGACAAAGAAGAAGATTTTGAGATCAAATCACAAGACATGGTTCACAGATTCAAACAACGGGGTTATAAAAATAGAGTAATTTATAAATCTTATAATAAAGCAAAAGATAGCAACAGAGATGAATTGTTAATAAAAAGACCCAGATTAAACCAGTCAGAAAGTTCTGTTTATTTCGTGACACAATACAGTACTGAGGCAAATACAATAAAGAGAATTATAAAAAATAATTGGAATATTTTGATGAGTGACCCCCATCTTAGGGAAATTTTACCTGTATCCCCCTCTGTAGTCTTTCGAAAAGCTCCAACTATCCAAGATAAACTTGTGAGAAGCCATCTTTCCTCTAAGAAAACTAACACATGGTTAAATCAAACAACAGGGAACTACAGATGTGGTAATTGCAACCATTGTGAAAACATGCTCAAGACGAACATGTTTAGAGATCCTTCTTCGGGCCGTGAATTTAAGATCAATTCATTTATCAATTGCAATACTACTTTTGTTGTTTATCGACTGGAATGTCCTTGTGGTTGTTTTTATGTAGGAATGACTAAGAGAAAACTAAAGTTGAGATTAGCGGAGCATAAATATGCGATATGTACTTGTAATCCACAATATCCTATGGCTCTACATTATAAAAATCAAGGTCATGGCAATCCAAGTTCATTAAAAATAGTTGGCATTGAACATATTTATAATTCTACAAGAGGAGGAGACAGGATAAAAAGATTAAAACAGAGAGAGACTTTTTGGATATATACATTAAAAGCAACCAGATTTCCAGGTTTGAATGGTGAATTAGATTTCTCTTCTTTTTTGTAAAACAGTTTTTCTATAGTTTCCCAGAAATGGGTTGCGGCTGGATGGGTATCCGCTGCGTAGAAAGTAGCTGGTTGGCGGTTCGTTCCGCTGTGGCGACCCCGGATTAATGAGGGGACTAAGCCGATAAGAAAATGAATGATTAAATGAGTTTTTCTATAGATGCTTTACAGATCGTCATTATACATTGATGTATGTGTTTATATGTATGTATGTATTTTCCATGTATGTGTATATATTGTATACATGTATGTGTATGTATGTATATATATATATATATATGTATATATATGTATATGTATATGTGTATGTATATATACGTATATGTGTATGTATGTATATATATATATATATATATTCTTTTTTCTTCTCTCTCTCTCTCTCTTTTCCCACATATGCAAGTGGGTGTTTGTGTATCTATGCCGAATTTATGATGGTAGTAGAGTTTGCTTGTTAAATTATTTGAGTGCCATTTGAGATGTTTAAATGAGTGTGACCGTAGTACTCAAAAGAGACTCTAGACGCACCTGATCACTGTTACCCTGATGAAGGCAGACTTCTGCCGAAACGCGTTGGTTTTTAGAGATCTAGCCATGTGAATAAAGGCTTTTTAATTTTTTCACTTTACTCGAGTGCCTTGGACTGATTCTTGTTGCAGATTTGATGAATCCCTTACCCAAAGAGCACCGACCATACATTTGAACTTACCCCAGAGCGCTTTTTGTTTTGTTTTTTCTGATGTAAAATAAAGTGTCTGATGTCCCTTGTGTGTATGTGAAATTTCAGCTCGAAATAGCCCACAAACAATGTTTTATAATGGCCCTTTTTAGAATTTGATCTTAATAGTGCCATTTTGGTGACTGTCACTTTAAATTGAAATGAGACTACAAATGCCTATGTGCCAGCATAGAGGCAGATTTAAAAACAAGACTGATGTCTTTGCTAATAAGGGAGAGATTGTCAATAGACGGGCTTTCTCTCTCTGATGACATGTACAAAGGGAGAGTTTTTGTCAAGTAGGATTATAAAAAAAATGAATTCATGTCTATCTTTAGAAACATGTTATATTTGCCACACAACTGTGTTTAAACTCCTCATGAAAGTGATTTTTGCATAATAGTCCCTCTTTAATTTTTTACATTCCTGTCTTTTTACAGGTCTGGTTTGACAGGAGGACCAACTACACACGCTCGCTAGCTGTTATGTCCATGGTTGGCTATATCTTAGGACTTGGAGACAGGTACAAACTAAACCACCAAACGTCTTTTTATTAGTAAAACTAGTTTATTTATAAATTATTCAGATTTATTATTATTTAATCATTATTTTTTCCTGTCCAACCACAGGCATCCTTCTAATCTGATGTTGGACAGGCTCAGTGGAAAGATACTGCATATCGATTTTGGAGACTGTTTTGAGGTAGAAACAATACTAAATAAAGAACATGCAGCATTTTTTTTCTTGGTGACTAATGTGTTTTGTTGTTTTTTTTAAGGTTGCAATGACCAGAGAAAAATTCCCAGAGAAAATTCCTTTTAGATTAACCCGCATGTTAACCAATGCCATGGAGGTAAGATGATCAGGAGTGCTTTTGAAGTATTAAATACCCCATTTTCCCCTGAACTTGTCTTCACTTGCAACTTTTCATGGAATTTTTGCCAAAATAATATTTATAATAATGTATTTTATTTAAAGGCGCCTTTCTAGCAACTCAAGGACACCGTACAATCCACAAGAGCAATAAAATAACAAGAGAAATAATAAAATATACACAACAATAGTGCAGATAAAATTAAGTATTAAAAGCCATCTTAAATAAGTGGGTTTTGAGTCTTGATTTGAATAGTGTGAGGGAGTCAATGTTTCTGATGGCAGGTGGTAATGAGTTCCAAAGCCGCGGAGCAGAGCAGCTAAATGCTCTGTTTTCCATAGTCGAAAGACGAGAAGAGGGAACAGACAAGTGGAGGGAGGAAGATCATCGCAGGGTGCGAGAAGGAGCAGAAATATGGATGAGGGCAGACAAATATAGAGGGGCAAGATTGTGGATGGCTTTGAATGCAGTAATCTAAACGAGACGTGACAAGGCTATGAACGAGAACAGCAGTGGCATGAGGGGTAAGAGAAGGGCGGAGACGGTTAATGTTGCGTAGGTGGAAGTAAGCAGACCAGGGGATGTTATTGATGTGAGAATCAAAAGATAGGGTGCTGTCAAGGATGAAACCCAGACCCTTAACCTGTTTAGAGGGATTGATGGAACAGTCGTCAATTGAAAGAGAAAAGCTGTCAGTTTTGGAAAGTGTTGATTTGGTAGCAACAAGCAAAACCTCAGTTTTTGAACTATTTAGTTTGAGGAAGTTAAGAGAGAGCCAGGACTTGATTTCTGCTAAGCACACTGTAAGGGATGTAGGTGGAAAACAAGAAGAGGGTTTGCCTGAGAGATAGAGCTGGGTGTCATCCGCATTACCAAGTGAAAGGAGATAGATGATAAAAAGCAGGGGCCCCAGGACTGAGCCCTGGGGAACACCCGAAGAAACTGTCAAATGCTGAGAACTGAATGATTTGAGTTGAATGAACTGAGTGCGGCCAGAGAGATAAGATTTAAACCAGTCAAGTGGGGTATTGGTGATGCCAAGAGTGGATAGTCTAGTGATGAGGGTGCTGTGACAAATAGTGTCAAAGGCTGTTCTCAGGTCGAGGAGAATGAGAATAGATATTAGTCCAGAATCAGCTGCCATAAGAAGATCGTCGGTGATTTTAATCAGGGCAGTTTCCGTGCTGTGGTGTTTGTAATAGTGTTTTCTGTTCTTTAATATGGTATAAAGTAGTGGTTCTCAAACTTTTTTCATGAAGTACCACCTCAGAAAAAACTGTCCCTCCAAGTACCATCATAATGACCAGTAATGAAATACAGTAGCGTAGTAGGCCCAGTAAAGCAGCTCCAGTTCTGCTCAGTTTAAAAACGTGGCAGATTAACTACTATTATTAGGAGTATTAATTTTTATCAGCCGCTTTAAACACTGTAAATAGTTTAAACAATAACACTGTACTGTGCTTATATGTGAAAAAACAAATAAACAAAAAAAATAAAATGTCAACGTTTAAATTAAAATGTGCTTTTAAAAGTAAAAAAATGGTAGGTTACTGTTCTTAAAAAGTAAAAAAAAAAAAAAAAAAAAACTGCTGTACTTAAGTGTAAAGTGTTATTCTGTAGTATCCTATTGATCAAAACCTGCAAATGTTGCTTGGACCTCATAAATATAGGCTATTTTTCATCATATTAATATATAAACCATTTTAGATAAGTTTTGAAATATATGTTGCTTGACATATTGGATTATTCTGCATACCGCTAGAAGGCAGCCCGTGTACCACTAGTGGTACACATACCACAGTTTGAAAACCACTGTTATAAAGGGTTTGTATGGACCGATACACACTCAGAAAATGACCTTTGCTGCTTGTTACTTTTTTAAAATGAGTTTAAATAAGACAATTCTTAAATCTTTTTAGAGGGGACAGCTTTTTTTTTTTTTTTTCAATCCATCCAGTTAACTTAATCAATTTGTGTTGGGACAAACTTAAGGATTTATGTGGAACCCAGCATGTTTTTACAGTGCAGATATATCTATTTGTTAGAAATATTCACACTTCTGTTAATTACTCAGATACACTGTTCCACTTAAAGTAGAGGTTGGAATACGCTACATGCCAATACTAACGTCCAACTATACACAATATGGAGTACTCTACATCGTTTTCTCGAGGAGTTGACCCTTACCGCTTAGGCAGTCTGCAGATTTTGGACAGTCAAATTTGATAGATTTCATAACACAAGATTTAATTTTAAGATTCCAGACTACAGTTTTAACTATAGTAGTCAACGTTTGAAGTGAATCAAAACCTTTTGTCCAAGTTGTCCTAAAAATATTGAACAACGCCCATCCTTGTCTTTTTGATCCACTTTAAATGTTGACTACTGGAGTTAGAGGATCTCATGCTGGTTTGTTATTTTGAGCTGATCTTAGAGCAAATATTGCTTTAAACTGCCTTTCAGCTCATTGCAAAATGGCAGTTTTAATTTACTTGGTACAAGCTGAAAATTGGAGAACATGAAATCTTTTGTGTTTTAGCGCCCTATCAAACACCTGGCACAATATGGTGCAATTTGTTGCACTAATAATATAATAGTAATATAATAATAGTATTATTTATAATATGAATATTTATATTTGTTTTAATAAAAACAAGTTTAGATTTGTCCAACTGTCAGGATTTGGATATGTATGCATCACCATATGGGGCATAAGAACAAGACGTGTGTTTAGACATAACTCATAATGTTTTTGAACACACAATTGTTTGTTACTATTGTTTATTTATTCATTTGCTAGAAATAACAACAGAATTCAGAAATAGATTAAAAACAAATCTTTGTGCTTAACAAACTAAATTAAACATGTAGGCTAATGGATGTCTTCAGTGGAGTGCGTTCAACACTGTTTCCTTACTCCACGAAAGTAATGGAGTAAAGTAAAGAGAAAGTAAAGAGGTTTAATGGAGGAGGCTCGTTCTTTGTCCTCATGCTGGTGGTCTGTTTAACTGTTTTCTTGCTAGTGAAGCGTTCAGTTTTTCCACCTACAAAGTCTGCCATGTAAATAGCAAATGCACCATGGTGCAACGCATCTGACTCTTAAAGGAGTGGTATTCTGTCCCTGGCAGCATCAGAGATATAACCGCCTTTAATATGTTCAAAAAACATTGAAAAATCTGGTTTATAGAGAATCAGACGTGTCATCATTCCTATTAGAATGAACCTAGCATGTTTCCAGTTGTGCCTACCATCTTAAGGATTTGTTGTTTAAATGTGTTTCAGCGATTTGTATCTCTATTACAAAGTGTTAGTTTAATTTGTATATATTCGTTTTTTTTTTGTTTTTGTTTTTTTGTTTTTTTCATCTACATAACTATGTCTATTTTAGTTCTTCTTAACTATGTTTGATTGATTGTATATTTCTTGAATAGTTTTTTTAGGTTGTTCAGGGATAACAGATTAAAAAATAGCCTCCTGGCTAATTCTGGTGCATTTGCAGAAATGCTAAATAATATAATTTGTCCTTGCCAACTAAAAATATTTATAAAAAAAGGGAATGTGAATGAGACTCTGATTGGTTTAATGCACGTTATGCTCAAAACACACCCATAACTTATTAAGAGAACAAGCACAACCCTGTTAGACCATGCGTCGTGTATTTTTTGGTCCTTAAAAAAGCAAAAGTGGATTCGGACACGCCTCTTGTGCTTTTGCGCCATGCGCTTTAGACTTTGAGCTTAGATTGTTAAAATAGAGCCCTTAATGTCTGATATTTAACTTTTTCTATTCCTACTATTTACAAAGTCAGGGTATAATGGCTGCTGTTTTAAAAATTTAATGCAATCATAAAAGTTGTGAAGCATGGTACCCAACCGTAAGATGAAGATCTTAGTTCTAACTAGACTGACACTGAAAACAACAATACAAACACACTAATGCTGCACAGTATATCGTTTCAGTATTGAAATGGCAATGTGCGAGTTCACAGTTGTCAAACTGCAGGATGTGGGATTCAGATTTAGTCTGAATTATAGTTGATTATTAGCCACAGAACACGTGATTTGTAGATTCACTGCAAATTTTAACCATAATAGAGGGAAAGAATTATTAGCACGTGTTTTTCAGGCATGTGAGCATTTTGTGAGATTAAATCATTTGGACGCAGGAAACTAAGACATTTGGAGGTGTAACAGAAAAGATATTCACGATTACACGTGCACTGCAAAAAGTCTTTTCTTAATGACACTTTTTTGTAAATTTCTCAATTTCAAACTAAAAACCATATTATTTTTATTCAGAAATTTATTTCCGCACTGCTAGAAATCTGGTCGAGTCCCGCGGTACAGCAGTGGGAATGCAGACCTCTAGTTCGCATTTACCACGTCTCCATTCTCCTTCGGTCGAAACCTGGAACTACTGCCAAACTGCAGAGGTTGTGTTCTTTTTCGAGACCAGCAGGTCACTTGGTGCGCGACTCGCCATCTTACCTCACCTCTCTCTCTCCTCCACACTGTCCCAAGATGACAATCACGCATACGTGACATTTTTAGGCATTAAATAAATCATATTTAATACTTGTCTCCTATTTGTGCATTGTTTTTCTCACGGTATAACGGTATTGAAACTGACACCCTTGCTATTTTTAGATCCCGCGGTATACCATATTACCGTCTTACCGCCCAAGCCTAGTTGGCATCATTAACCCTTTAGATAAGCCTGTGAAAAAAGTTTCTGGCTTTATTATAGGGTTATGTGGGGTAAAACAGCTAATTATAATGTGTGTAAATTAATACACTTACTATGTTCTGAGAGCTGAGGTGCTTATTTTGATTTTCTCAGACATGTTAAAGTAAGTATGCAAAGGTTGCTCTCACACACTTAGTACACACACAGTAAAAATAACAAATTTGACCTCTTCCCAACAGGAATAAGCTACAACAATCAAGAATGCATGATTATATGTTGTTTTAATGGAAGTTAATGGGGCAAAAACAACCACAGACATAACGAAAGGATAGTCCATTTGCCCAGGGTGTATTGTTGAGTTTTTAAACTCTTCAGAAGCATTTTGACAAAACGTGTCAAAAATTGTCACCAAAATCAGTCCATTTGCTGAAACACAGAGAAAACTGTGGCCAAAGTAAGACTCAAAATCACCTCAGAATGGATGAAAACATCCCCAACAGCACACAATGATTAAATAATTAAATTCTGGCTAAATTGCCTAGTGTTTGTAAAGAATAAATTAATCTTTCTTGCTAAACAACAGATTATTTCCCCACTTAGGTGACGGGACTGGATGGTAACTACCGTATCACATGCCACACAGTGATGGAGGTACTCCGGGAACACAGGGACAGTGTCATGGCTGTGCTGGAGGCCTTTGTCTATGACCCGTTACTCAACTGGAGGCTTATGGACAGTGAGTACACAACCTTTACTCGTTTAAAACCATATCAGAGTCATGCAACTGATGCTTCTCCGTCTTACAGCAAACACTAAAGGAAATAAGCGATCCCGGACCAGAACTGACTCCTATACGGCAGGACAGTCTGTCGGTAAGCCATTCCAGTTATCAGCAGCAAAGTAGATTAAACTTTTTGACTAAATGAAGAAAATTGATGTGCAGTTTTATTTAGTGTGCTTTTCATATCAAAACTTGTTGTGAACTATGATTATGCTGTTACTAGTCCTTCTGTACATTACAGGGATTCACTCTACTAGAAATCCCATAGAATTTGCTTTCATTTTGTAGAATGCCTCATAATGGCAGTGGCATACATATTGAAGTGCTCATGTTCATATAGAATTTCCATCAAAACTAACGTTCCTGGAAATCGATACATTTTTGTGGTATGTTTTTGGTATGTTTCGTGTAGAAGCCATGGAGGGTATTGACCTGGGAGAAACAACGCACAAAAAGCCTGGAACTACAGTGCCTGAGTCCATTCACTCTTTCAGTAAGTCTTTAAAGTGTCTTTATTTGTTGTCTTTGTTGTTGTTTAATTATTGATTTCTTGTAACGGAGGGTTTGCAAGAAAGTGTCTGTTGCATAAGTAGAGGAAGACCGTGTCTCCCACATGAAAGAGGCATGTTACCTTGAGGAAATTCCTGAAACCCTGCCAAAGCCACCCGCTGGACTCTGCAGGCTCACACACACATACATAAAACATATCTGCAGATAAACACTCACCACCGATCCCCATCCAAACGCCTTCCTGTGCGTTAACCCAAGAGGGGCGTGGGCGGGGCTGTGACTCGCGCCTTGTTATGGCTGCTGGACCAGCTGGATACCCACACTCATCGGATTGTTTTTCCATTTCCCCTGTTCCCACCCCCCCTGTCAATGTTGTGTCCTGCTGATGTGCTTATGCTAAGATAGGGCTGTTTTTCTCCCTTTCTCACTTTGTCCTAATCAAAGGCAAGCTGAGGGGGTGTTTTTTTTTTTGCCTAACTGTCCAGATGTATCTTACTTTGTTTCTAAATGCTACTTCCTGTGACCTGTCTCCCCCAAAATTGTGATGTTTGTGTATGGTCGGGGGGGTTCAATTTCACTATACGAAAGTGTATGTGAAAAATAAAGGCCTGATTTGATGTGGTTTGTCAAGCCCACTCACCTGAATGAAGCACACTCAAAATCGCACAATACTTTCGCAGTAGGGTTGTGACAATGAGGAAATTTCCCCACCGGTTAATCGACATGTGACAACACCGGTAATACCGGTATCACCGTGGGGGTGGGGGTTTCCTCTTTTTTTCTGCTTATGAATGCATATGTATAATACTTTCAGTTTTGCGGCAATTCCCAACATGCGCTGGTTTATACTTCTGCGTCAAGTGACCGGCGTAACTCACGGCGCAGGCAACGCGTGCAGCTGTGCATTTATACTTCTGCGCGCTGTCTCTGTTGGTCTGCATTAACACTTCCGAAATGCTAAGTGGCGAGTTTCTTCGCTTCTGTTTTGCTTTTCCTGAACACTTCCTGGTTGTACAAGTGACTCAAACTCGCTCATTTAGAGGCAGGAACTGGCGGACGTGCAACAACTTTAACTATGAGGTAAACACAAAACAAAACTTTCCATCCGGAGCTCCTTCACGGGACTCCACACTTGTAAACAATCGCTCGCGCCATTCGCGTGGCTCTCGGTCCCGCCTAGACTCGTCAGCGCTACCAAGCCGACCAATCACAGAGCTTGCGCTACGCGTTGTTGCGACGTGTAGTTACATTTTTTGAGAGGTGCACGTCAGTGACGCCGAAGGGCTATGCATCAGCGCCGTAGCATACGCCGGCAATTGACGCAGAAGTATAAATCAGCCTTAAGGGCGCTATACACACTACACAGCATACACTGGCAAGATGAAAAGTGCTGAACTCCACGAGACCAGTTTTATTTGTTTTGTTATTTGCGTGTTGTTCCCTTTGATTTCACCCTTTGATTTTTTTTCGTTTCCGTATATTCTTTATCAAACGAAAAATGCAATGAATTGTTTATTTTGGTTTTCTTTTTATCAGAGTTAATATAATTATTAGGCTACAAACCTTTACATAATATTGGCTCTGATTGCGTTTGACAGATATCCTACAGACAGACTTTTCGGCTGAAAGACATTATTTCAGTGTTGTATTTTGACAGATTCGCAAAGGCTTAAGCTATTCTACCTGTCTGCTGATACCAGCCTCAGTTTTGCGACTTGACTTGTGTGGCGTCCGTATCGATGTCTGGATGACAGCGAGAGAGAGATGAGATCAGACCTCAGATTCGATATTTGGCCGCACGTCACGGTTTACTGCAATTTTTTTATATTGGCTCATCTAAATTAACTTTTCATTTGATTAAAAGTCGAAATATTGCCAAACAGACGAAACATCTTTCAGTTTTTGAAGAGAGCGGCTTCAGTGATAAAATACGCACAACCAAACAGGATACACTCTTATCGGCCTATTCATTATTGATTTTTTAACATTAAACGCATAATAATCAAGTGCAAAAAAGAACAGCTGAACTACAGAAAAAGTGATAACTGCAGTTGCCGCGATGGTTGCTTTGTTTCTCTGCAGTTGGCTTATTAATGACACAGCATTGCTAACTCACTCATTTTAATAATAAATACAATTATTTATTTCTAAACATTGTGAGATGATGGTCACGTGATTTTTTAAAATGAGAGTATGCGTTGCATATTTATGGCTATTGATCTTATCTACCCGCGACCCATCCATAGTTACACATCAAGTATGTGCGTTGAAGGTGCGTGTATAAATTAGTTGTGTTTCCTCCACATGCTGCCACCTTTGTCAGGCAATGTTTGCAGATTGCCTCATTAACCTTTTCAGGTTCTCTTTTTGCATTTGGTTTGAACCCAAAATATTGCCAAACAGGCGCTTTTGCATTGCGTTTTGACACTAAATCGTACGCCATTCTCTTCCTGTAAATTCGACTCCTCTCCTCTCGTGTAAAGAATCAGGTTTATGCTTGTAATTTATGCACTATATTTAATTGAAATGTTTCTCTTTCAGTTGGAGACGGCCTTGTGCAACCTGAAGCCTTGAACAAGAAAGCCATTCAGATCATCAACCGAGTGCGGGACAAGTTAACTGGTAAGACCTAAACAAAAACACGACCTCATGCATGATTCTGGTAGAACATTTATAATCTGGCAAAAACAATTACAAATTCTAATGTGTTTTTTTTTTTTTACTTTTTTATAGGTCGAGATTTTTCCCATGATGAGACTCTGGACGTACCAACACAAGTGGAGCTGCTCATTAAGCAAGCTACGTCACATGAAAACCTGTGCCAATGCTACATTGGATGGTAAGTGTTTTGTTGGTCTGCTTGAGAAAATGTAAGGAGCCATACCAGTCAACCTTCTCATTTTTCTTGGATTCTCCCATATTTTAATGCTAAATTTATCTTTAAAACATATTTCCTCATTTTTTCCCTTTATTGTTAATCTTTCTGTGAAAGGTGACATTAACATCAGCACAGAGCTGATCTCAAATTGGATAAAACCGCAAGAGCTGTTAAAAAAAAGAGAAATATTATTTTGTTTTATTTTGACTTTGTTTTACACTGTAAAAAATGATGACATCAAAAGGTGAGAAAGCCATTGCCAAGTAGATTTTATTAAAAAATTCAAATTAAATAAGTAGGGCTATGCAATTAATCGAAAATCCGGTTTTGATTTCGATTTCATCTTCTAACGGTTTTGAAAAAATCGAGATAAACAATTATTTCATCATATATCGCCCCCTTTTCACTTGTACACATTTGTTGCTCTGCAAAGCTCAGTTCCACGTGAAAACTACTAAAAGCATTGATGTACATTCAAATCATTCATGTTTTTAAATGCACGAAACAGCGCATATTGTTGTGTGTGTGCTCACTTACCCTCAGAGTCGAGCAGAGCACAAACATCTAAAGTCATCATAATGTGAGCTCTTTAATGGTCAAATACATGCACATTTGTGTCAGAGCACGGTGTTTAGTGATTATTCATATTTACCCTGATTTGTGTGATAAACAAGTTGAGAATCTATAGACACGTGGAAAAAGAAAGCACTGTTCTTAAAGTGACAGCGCGCAATATTCCTGCTGCCGACTGTTTTTATCATTAATCAAACAACAAAAGGAGAAAATCCCTCACTGCTCTTGACTAAAGGACTGCTGTAGCTAAAATTTTTTCTTACAGTGAAGATGCTTAAAGCACAGTTTGTTTCATATATTTATTTTATTGTATTTATTCCCCCTTCCTTATTTACAGGGAGGAAAATAACTGTGCATGCAGTTGAAGTCAGAATTATTAGCCCTCCTAAATTATTTGCGACCCTTTCCCTAATTTCTGTTTAATAAAAAGATTTATTTTCTACCCATTTTTAAACATAATAATTTTGAAATCTCATTTCTAATAACTGATTACTTTTCTCCTTGCTTTGATGACACCACATTACATTTGACTATATATTTTTTCAAGATACTAGTATTCAGCTTAAAGTGACATTCAAAGGCTTAATTAGTGTAATTAGGCAAGTCATTGTATAACAGTAGTTTCTTCTGCAAGTAAAAATATATATTTCTTAAGGGGGCTAATAATATTGTGCTATTAAAGTAGGTTTCAAAATATTTAAACCTGCTTTTATTGTAGCGAAAATAAAACAAATAAGCTTTTCTCTAGAAGAAAAAATATTATAGGAAATACTGTGAAAAATTCCTGTTAAACATCATTTGGGAAATATTTATATATAAAAAAAATTCACAAGAGGGCGAATAATTTTGACTTCAACTGATAGTCGTTTTAAATAATCATGATTACAATTATGACCAAAATAATCGTGATTATGATTTTTCCCATAATTTCCAGCCTGATCTAACAAGGTAAAATGATTATTTTCTGTTTTGTTACTTTAGTGGCTAAATATGAGTTTGTAAGTTTTTAAAATGGAGGCCTGGCACCCAACCCCGCCCCTAAAGCCAACCGCCATTAGGGGATGAGCGAATTACACTAAATTGTACCAATGAGATCATGCGCATTATTTAGAATTAGCCACTAAATCAAAAAGTTACGAATTGCCGTGTGTTCAGGTTGGTATTTCTGTTGTAACTTAGAACTGTCATGTTGACAACTTATTTTTTTAAAATTATGCACATACTTCATTTACTTAGTAATTTGCAGGCAATGAGTTTACTCACTTTTTCGACAAATCACTTTTACAGTGTATTTCATTTTTTATATAGTGTCTGTAGTCCCTTTTTCTCATTAAACCCATGTGTCATAGTTCTTTCTACGCGTCCTGTTTCTTCAACTACTTATTTAAAATGACCCGAAACAATTCTTGAGCTTTTTGGGGGGACAACTTAAATGTTTTATGTTCAATCCACTTAAATTTGTAAAAACTATTAAGCTAGCTTAATTTCTTCATATTGTCCCAAAACAAATCGATCGTGTGGAACTCAGCATTTTTCTTTGTGATTTTGGTGTGTGACAAATTTACGTAATGATATTTAAACATGCCTGTTTTATTGTGTTTTGTTTTTGCTGTTCAAGCATAAATAGACGCTTGAACATTTTGAGTGTACTCACTTCATTCATGCGTCAAATGTATTTCACAACAGACGCAGATTTGCATCATGGGCAGGGCTTCTCTCTGCCCCGGCACTCTAGCTTCGTTGCTAAATGGCTAACTTAAAATTTATTGAGAGATTAGCAGTGCTTTATGTGCTTTAGGAAGGCTGAAAAACAGCGTTGATTCATTTGGAGCTGTGTCTGAGTCCACTATATCCTTTTAGAGGTACACCCAGCTCTGTGAGCTCATAAACTCCTCCAGAAACTGTACCTGGATAATGGAGGCTTTCAGCGGTGCTTCAGACTCAGCCAAGCCCAGTTTGATGAGCTGTTGTTGGGTGTCGGCAGGAGGATTTCCCCTCGAGACACCAACTGCAGGCACTGCACGCTCCTACAAGAGCATGCTCCTGATTGATTAACGCCGCACGAATGTCTGCTAAAGTTGAGATTTTCCAACTCACGAGAATCACGAGATTCACATGTTAAGAACGTCAAACGCGCAAAACGCTCAATTCGTGCAGCTCAAGTCCTGCCACTTAATTCGTCATTCTCACCGCCTCATTTGTGGGAATAGTGCAGCATGATGTCTGTTCGCTTCTTTGCATTGAATTATCATGTAAATTACTCGCACTTGACGCTTCATCCACATCTGGTATGAACGCAGCAGTAAAGTGACATTTCCAGTATTAGGTGTCAATCAAACGACACATTGCTACTCTTCACTAAATAACTAGTAACTTAAATCAAAATTAATATTATATTATACAGTCAAGCGAAAGTGAATGAGATTTGATTACTTGATTTATTGTCTGTATTTTAGACCATTCATTTTTGTAGACTAGACTTTTATTTAATTGAATGAACTGATTGTGGAGTTTGGGGTTGTTTTGGGCTGTATTTCCCAACCCTGTTCCTAAAGGCACACCAACAGTACACACTTTCATCCTCTCCCTAATTAAACATGCGTGAATCTATTAATCAGAACACTAGAAGAAACTCCAAAACCTGAAGTTAATGAGTCCGATGAAGGAGATATCCAAAATATGTACAGTTCACTGAAAAAAAAAATTATTCAGAGATGATTCCTTGGATTTACTCAATTTTTTTACGTTAAATGATTGTAAACGATTTATTTGTGTTGAATTTAAACAAACAAATTAAGTTGAACATTATTAAACTTAATTTGTTTGTTTAAATTAAACACAAATAAATTGTTCGCAATAGTTCTGCATGCAACACTTTTTTCAGTGTTGGTGTGCTTTCAGTTTTCAGGATTTGTTGGGGGTGGATTATTTATTTTTAAAACTTTTTTTTAAAGGGTCTACCATATTTTTGCGTCCCAATTTTGATGTATGTAAAGAGCATAACAAATATTTGAATCTACACTTTGAACTGTGATTCAATCCAGTGAAATATGCTTTGTGCTTACAGCCTTTTTGTCTCTCTCTCATTCTTTTTAGGTGCCCTTTTTGGTAGAGCTTCTTATTGTTCCTGCTGTCTTTTTCTATATTTCACTGGTAACATCTCCTCGGACGGCGCTGCAGGCAGAGTGGGAATTGGCATCACATTGGAAAATATGAGCATTTCTTTACTGGTACATTTTTGAGAATTGTTGTCAATCACTATGGATCTGTAAGTGAAAGAATCATGAGAATGTCCTCTTCAATGAGGCTGTTGTTGTATGTCTATTACATTGACAGTGTTGTGATATTAGAAATGATCTGTCGCAGATGTGAATCTCGCTCTGTTACTGGTCATTTCATAGACTGAAAAGAACTCTGTCATGAAATATTGTGGTCAAATTAAAAATAAGAAATAAATGAAGAAATAAATTCAAGTAGTTGTTTCATGTAAAAAATAAACATGATCTTATATTTATGACCAATAAATGTTCTTTATAATGGAAACGTTGATGGAGATTTACATGATGACAATAATGCCAATACATTGCTCAGTATATGTTTTTACTGTAGCAGTGATTACATTTGTGCAGCAAATTTGCTAATATCAGAAATGTATTTTAATTTCTCTTCTACAGTTACTTTAAAGATCATTCATAATCAGCATTTGACATGAAATGCAAATCTTTTTCTTGGGAAGGACTAACTTTCAGAAAGTCCACTTATAAATGTCCAAACTCGTAACATTAAACCTCACTGTATTAATTACCAGGAGATTGTGTAATAAATATGCCACAGTTCCATCAATAGTTATGAGACACACAAATCATTAATGTATTATAGGTGTAAGAAAGAAATCACATCCCTCAAGTTGACATGAAGAATTTAAAGCAGAGAGATGAAAATAGCACAACAAAAATAAAACAGTTTTCTCCTACAGATTGTCGTCTTTAATGTTCAACACACACACACACACACACACACACACCTCTTTAAAATCTCTCACTTTTTATTTGTTTACTCATTTTTTTTAAGTTAAGTCAACTAATCACTTTAAAATCAACAGGTTTACTCAATTTATTAAATCAATTAATCACTTTAAACAAAAGGTTTACTCAGCTTTTAAATACACTACTGACTTTAGAATCATCAGGTTAACTCATTTTTTTAAGTTAAGTCAACTAATCACATTAAAATTAACAGGTTTACTTACTTTCGCAGGTAAAGTCAAGTAATCACTTTAGAAACAAAAGGTTTACTCAGTTTTGAACTAAACTAATGACTTTAGAATCCACAGGGTTTACTCAGTCAAGTTAAGTCAAATAATCACTTTAAACAAAAGGTTTAATCACTTTTTAACTACAATTATCACTTTAGCATCATCAGGTTTACTCATTCTGTAAGTCAACTAATCAATTTAAAATCAACAGGTAAAGGTAGGTAAAGTCAAGTAATCACTTTAGAATTATCAGATTTACTTAGTTTTTTTTAAGTTAAGTCAACTAATCACTTTAAACAAAAGGTTTACTCAGTTTTTAACTAAACTTATCACTTTAAAATCAACAGGGTTTAGTCACTTTTTTAAGTAAAGTCAACTAATCACTTTAGAATCAACAGGTTTACCCAGTTTTAACTAAACTAATCACTTTAGAAACAACAGGTTTACTCACTTTTTTAGGTAAAGTCAACTAATCGATTTGGAATCAACAGGTTTACTCAATTCATTAAGTCAATTAATTACTTTAAACAAAAGGTTTACTCAGTATGAACTAAATTAATCACTTTAGAATCAAAACGTTTACTCAATTTATTAAATCAATGAATCACTTTAGAGTCACCAGGTTTATTGAAATAATGAAGTCAACTAATCACTTTAGAATCATCAGGTTTACTGAATTTATTAAGTCAACTAATCACGTTGGAAACAAAATGTTTACTCAGTTTTAACTAATCACTTTAAAATCAACTGGGTTTTGTCACTCTTTAAGTCAACTAATTACGGACTGAGATCAGTAGATCTGGGCCGTTTCCCCTGAATTTGTACTTGTACTCAGTACTCACTTTAGAATATACTACTTTAAACCATTTTGATGGAGGTGGGCAAATTTCTTTATTTTGCAGATAAATTTCCACTAATTGTAAGGAAAGTACAGAAAATAAATGTTTGGCATGATGCAAAGGTATGAGAGATTATCACAGAAGATGAATGGAAATCTGTCTGAAGGCACAAACGCAGACAATTATTGTCTGTTTCACTGAATCAATCATTCACATGAAAAGACTGATTCATTTAAAGGAACACTCCATTTTTTTTTGGAAATATTGTAGTGTAATTTTATAACTCCCCTAAAGTTAAACAGTTATTTAACTATTTTTAAATCTATTCAGCTGTCTGGGTCTGGCGGGAGCACTTTTACCCTAGCTTAGCATAAATCATGGAATCAGATTAGACCATTAGCATTTTGCCTCAAAATTGTATTTTTTAAAGTCGGATTTAAAAAAAAAAAAAGAGTTCTGAGAATTTTCCTATTTAAAACTCGACCCCTCTGAGGTTATTTTGTGTACTAAGACCAACAGAAAATTAAAAATGGCTGTTTTTTAAGCTGATATGGCTAGAAAATAACATTCTAGGAACTGATGTTACAGCGTGACTCCCCTACCATGGCTGCAGCAGGAGTAATAATATTATCTGTAGATCGTCTAAATGGATTTTACAATAATAAAACTCAAAACATTTTACTGAGGTGAATTGAGCCCATTTCCAAAAACAGTGGAGTGTTCTGTTAAGTACTGTAGGTCAGGGGTTTTAAAACTGTGGGGCGCGCCCCACCAGGGGTGCACAGCACCTATTTAGGGCAGCGCCAGACATGGAGGCGTGCACGCGAGTAAATTATGATGCAGTTTTTTTATGCGTTCACTAGAGTAAATATGAATAACGTTAGCTCCACAGCGAACTATCAGGCACCTGTAGAGTTTATGCGTTCCAGTAAAATATATACACATAAAATGGAGCGGATGCTTTTAAAAACGAATGACAGTGAATGAATGAAAGTCAAAACGGTGAGCCGTCTGACAAAAAAAAAAAGTGCCCTACTGGATCTATCACTTCCTTTGAAGACTACTGACTATGTTTACAAGGACATCATTTATTTTCCTTAATAAGACAATAATATAATAGAGGTGTTACATGAAGTGCTTTTTAAATGTTGCGTCTCCAGGCTATTCACCTTTCCTGCAGAGGCTCAAGCATTTTTCTGTTTTATCTTTAATTTTTCGACTTTACTGCAGTTCGTTTCAAGTTTTACTTTCAGTCATGAACATATCATTCACTCTCCCGTGACAAACTTTGGTATTAGGTGCGAATATAAAGTAAGGACTGGTGGAAGATTGTCGTTTTAATGGAAAGCAGAATGGAAAAAAAAAAACTCTGCATTTTGCGATGTGTGCGCGTGCATGTGTACGCGGTTCTTTAATGACAACCGCATGTGTAGATCTTTTTACAAAATACGGCGAAAAGTCCTACATGACGGTAATAGTTTGATTGCGGTGTTAACTTTAATAATGCCAGTAATATCTGCATACTCCACACATCTTAATTCCATTTCTGTTTAGTTCAGTAATGACTCGGATTAGGGTAATCAAATATCGCTGTTTACATGGTAGACTCTTAATCAGAGTATTGTCTTAATCATATTAAAATCGTATTAAAGTATTGTTGCTCATGTAAACATACTCGACTCAACCACGCCGTCAGGGCTCTGCGATCTTGGCTTTGCGAAGCAGCATTTCCTGTATGTACATGCATCAAATGTAAGTATGCTATGGCTCATGCTGATTGACAATGGAAGATGATTTACGGTTATTCGTGTCAGGAATCTGACCACAGATTAGCATGTTGTCCTCACAGAAACAGGCGAAGCCATCACACTGAATCAGGTAAGCTGTATATGAATGTTTCAATGTAATTAATTCTACTTTAACACAGCAAGTAATGTGTGAATAATGTTTGTATTTTATGCAGCGTTTTTATATAATGTACATTATAATTTTGCCTCGAGGAAGGGTTGTCTGGAGAGCGCGAGTGAAATTGGGCAAACTTAAACACCAGACATACTGCATCAATGTGTTTAATATTTTAACGAGGGCCACTCGTACGCTGTAATCGTGGACATGATGTCAAGTCTACACTTTGTAAACCTCTGCTTGAGGACTCATAACAGTAAACTGAAGGAAGCCTGTGTTATGGTTTAACTGGTGTCCGTGTTAACTGAGGCCCCTTTTCAGATGTGAACTATTCACGTTTGCAGATTCGTCACTTTTTCACGGCAACAAAACATGCCCATACCGAATAAAGATTCTTATTACTTGGTGTCAGAGTAAACATTATTGATTTTAATACCTGTGTAGCAGAACAGTATAAACCAAAATGAATGTAAAGAAATGATTTTAATTGACATGTCATCAACGGGATTCGAACCCAAGCCAAAAGGTTCTGCGTAAGTAACAACTGACCTATCTAACTGAGCTACTCGGGTCTACACATTCTCATGCTGACATTTTTTCAGAATAGCTCTAATATGTTTTCACAGTTGGTCAAACCATGATTTTTATAGTTGTAGACTCGTGAAAACCTGTCTACAGTCACACACACGAGCTGGATATTATTGATATTTTCCAGTGTGTGTGTTACATTCACGTCACTTCCGGTGTGTTGTACATGCCCTTTCCGTAGAGAATCTGTATTTGTAAATTTGTTTCGGGATTTGTAAAAGTGTTTTGCGTGCAACATAACTGGTAACATATATATTGTAACATATATGCTGGAGGTAAACATTCCTTGCAACATTCCATGAAAACGGTCTGGGCTCAGTCGACAGGACGTTTTACGACTCCTGGCTCCACAAGTCTGGGTACCCCCGACACCTTACGTAATCCAGGGAGACTGGAGAGATAAGCCTAGATCTTCAAACACATTCCTGCCCAAATACACACACACACACACACTCACACCCACGAGGCTGTTCCGACAGAAAGAAAATGAACTCAGAAATCCTGGACCAGCACAAAACTAAAGTGTTATGTTTTGTAAACTTTGCATGTCATTTCTGACTTTTCTTACCAGTGTAACCTCTCTTATAACCTGTATGCATGTTCCCTTTAGGCCTTTTTAAAGCATAAATAATGTAAGGATATGAAAAATTATGTTGATGTACTTTTAAACCCCCCATATTTGGTACCGATGGGTTTCTGCTGACATTTTACAACACATGATGCATAGAGCAAGATAATAACTCGCATTGCTTTATTCTTTAATTCCCTGCATTAAATGCCTCTCCGCATGCTTTGGGCGGCCTAGAGACAAAGAGAGGTTTCGCGCTCAAACTTTGTCCTGAAATCATTGGTCAAGAATGCTGAACGGGTTGTCACGTGACCCGCAGGTATAACCAGACTGTTCCCCAAACATCTGAGCAGAGTAATCCGAACAAAGATCCCATCGATGGTGGCCCCTTTGAGGGCCACGTGGCTTTTCTATGCCGCATGGACTTTCCCACCACGCTTTTGTTATTTTCCGGCAAAGTAAACTCAGTTTAAAGTTTGCGATCGTGTTCGTCCGAACTGCATTACAAACTCAACCCATCAAGAAGGACATCAAAGGAGTTTCATCAGGAAGAGACCCGCATAAAGAGAGAGACCTCCAGACATGAAAGTCCAGGGGCCTCATGTATCAACGCTGCGTACGCACAAAAACTTTGCGTACGCCAGGTTTCACGCTCATAATCGCTCACATTTGGATTTACTAACAATGAACTGAACGTGGGAATGTGCGCAGCTTCACGGCAGCTTTATGGCTGGCGTACGCA